CTGTTCTGCAAGCCCACCTGGGTCCAATCTGGAGAAAGAACATAAACATGAAAGATAAGAAATATATGAATAAGCAAACTATAGCACTTACACTCAGGATAAATTATTAATTAAGTGTAAATTGAGATAGTTGTGTTTTTTGTAAGTGGGTCATGGTTGGTTTGATGTAATACAAAAAGCTGTCTAAAAATAATCCAGCGATTCAGAATATGTCAGAAAATATGTCCAGCTGTAAGACATGATTCATTTTTGGGTTTTTTGAGTTCATACTTTGAGACATAAATGCCAAGACCAAACTCTTTGCCGCCTCTGATGTTGAAGCCCAGACAGTAGTCGTCCGATGTAGTGAAGAGATGTACAATCCGGCGGAGAGCGCTGTCGGAGCTGGCCTCTGACGGCGTACGACCGTTCTCCTCCACCACCATCCGTCTGTGAATTAGATCCACCCTGCGCACACATATGCAAAAGATGTACTCCGCTTTGCTCTCGATACACCAAACTCACATCCGTCATTATCAGTTAATCAAAAAGCCATAAAGGTCACAGCAGTAATCCATCCACTGCTGCCATATGAAACCCAGATGCAGTGTATCCTAAAAGAGAGATAACCAGTGATAAGCTTCACATAAAAGACCCACACAAAGCTTAAATGTATTATTACTAAGGGGACGGTTCTTTACAAAATCATGAAGTGACTCACAAAACTATTCACAGATATTGAACTTTTTGTCATTTAGTGCGTTAAGATGATGAACAAACAGAAAGTAGAATGTAATTTTGTACTGAAGGGAACTGAACATGTATGTTATCTGTAACGTTTTACAAGTAAAAATCTACAAGGTGGGATCTGCAACTGCAACTCCCCCTTACTGCAAGTATGACTGTAAAATTCTCTGGTAATCTGTAGATCTCTTCAGCTTCTCCAGATTTATGAGGCATTCACAGAACAAATATATTTAAACTGAGATTAAATCAGTCGCAGATGCTCTCTCTTTACAAATTAGGAGGCTCTGAAGCCATTTGTTTGCAATAAGTATTGTATGATAATAATATAGAGGGAAGAATATGCAGGTAAACTGAACTTTTCAGATTTTTGTTTGACAAAGTTCTTTTCCCACCAGCTAACAGGCCTGCATTACTTTCTGCTGCTTTATTCAAAATTCCTATAAATACACTGAAGTTTGCGGTTTTCACATAACAAAAATTATATCAAAGTACAGTATATCCTGAAAAAGTGTATTACAAAAATAAACTTGCAAATACCGTATTTAATAACTGGTCTTCGTATTACAGTGTAGTGTATCTCAGTGGTCTAACCATGTGGTCTTCTCCTTGGAGTAGCGGATGCCGGGGATCTTTCCTACACGCCTCACCACCATCCTCAGCCTGTTGTTTCCTGTCAGGACCTTCACAGCGCTGCTCATGGTGATGCTCTCCAGGCTGACTCCGTTCACCTCCACCAGCTTGTCCCCCACGGTGAGCCCAGCCTGTGCTGAAGACACGTACAAAACTCAGCATGATAAACAAAAGTAAAATGTCACGTACACAAAACACCTCGACTTGACGTAAATACAAAAAAACAAAAACCACAGATACATTAAAGCCATACCTGCTGTGCTGTCATCCTCCACCTTACTGACAAATATGCCGAGTCCATGTTCGGATCCCCCACGGACACTAAAGCCAAGACGCCCATCTGGGCTCTTATTGACTGTCACTGTGTGAATATCTTCACTCTCGTCTCCTCCTGCAAACAAAATCAACATGAATCTGACATATGTGTTTGCACAGTCAGACTGCCGATTACTGTTAAAACCCTGCACAGGTAAAGTTAAAAATAAGTATGATAAAAAGCATGACGAGATTTTGCTGTGATAGGACAGTACGGTCCATCTTGGAGTCGATCTCAGCTGAACAGTGAAAAACTGGGATCTGAAACCTGATTTATGTGTCAGTTATAAGAAAAGGGAAAATTTGCCTAACTGTGGTGCTGAATGTTATTCACAAACAACAAACTTTTTTTTTTTAATTAAGCACTTTTCGCAGAAAATGAAATAACACACAAATGTCTTGCTGCCTAAATAATGGTTCATGGTCACTATGCCCCATTACGTTCATTGTTTCATGTGAGTGAGAAGGCAGAAAATATTTTTGTTATGATTTACAGTCATAAAAGCTTGGGAAAGCAAATAAAATATAATCTACATGTACCAGAAATAAGAATATAATAGGTAAAACCGTAAGCACTAACTAAAGTTTGACAGTGTGGCAGCAATCTATTCATTGTTGATGCTTAAAATCTATATGTGACTGTGGATAGTTTTAATAAATTTATTTACCAAAACTGTTTTTATTCTTTAAAAGTAAACGAAAAGAGGCTGTACATTTATGAGATATGCATCAATCAGGCTTTTTCTTAGGTGACACAATTTTTTGGTTTTCTTTAAACCTTCTGCCTTCTAATTTGCATTTTTTTTTCTTCCTAAGACTTTATTACGTGAAAAAAAGGTGCTGCACTTTCTATGAAGCGGATTGTATTTTAGGCTAAGATAGTCCCAATTATTATTATTATTATTTCTATCAAAGCATGTCTTTATCTGACTCTAATTCGAATTCAAATTATGAGATTTCTTTATTCTAATGCATTTGATGAATAGTAAAAAAAAAAAACTTTTAAAGTTTGTTTTAAAAGTTTTATCATCATCTTTAAAGGTGATGATAAAAAAAATATTCCTGAAGTAATTTCAACTCTATCATTTTCAGTACTGAGTTACTCTGACTCAAACAATATTAAATCAGACATGGCTGATCCGTAGGCTTCCAGACCCATAAATAATGTTACAGTCATAAGTTGCCAAGTTTAGAGCTCACCATCTACAGGTGCATTGATGAGAATGACCCTGCCCATTGGAGAGGAGGACCTGCGTCTGTGGCGCTGCTGTTTCTTCAGCATGTAGCGCATAGTGCTTTGGGATCCCCCACCCTGGCCTCCATTGCTGAAGTGGGGGTGCCCGCCTCCATTTGTCATCTCGCTCCAGGCAGGATGGTGAAATGAGCCAGCCATCGGGTAAGCCTGGAAAAACTTTTCTCCGTCATCCAGGCACTGGAATATCTGGTTTCGCCTGTCGGGAGGAGGAGGTGCAGTCTCAGGCTTGGGGGGGGGGGTGGAGAGGGACAGCAGTGGTGGAAAAGTGGAGTGGCTTCCAACCACAGATCCAAACTCCTCAACTCTGAAAGTGGCTACGACTGAAGTTGACGACTTCTATCAGACTCCAAGTACGAATTAGAAGAAGTGGAAAACAAACATATACTTAGAACCAAACCATAACCTTGCATCCCACAAATTGAAAAAGATGTGGGGGTAGGGGAATAGCCACTCAAAATAAAAGGTAAACTCCAGGAAAGGATCCAAATGTTTGCAGGAAAATAGAAGAAAAAATTTTGTGAACCTCTTCTGAAACCATCTCATTTCTGATTTGAGAGCCTGTTAGCCAGAGAAGCTGCGCTTGTCTGTAGAGAGGTCGGCTGTGTCCAGCGAGTCCTGGTCATGTTTAATTAAATGGATACCTGTGAACCTGAAGGGGGGGTGACAATGAAGAAAAAAACGTGCTCTTAGAAACTGTAGATGAATATAAGTGGAAGGACATTTTGTAGTGCAAGAAAATTCTACAGAACCATCTTAACATGCAATCAAATGTCATGTTTACTAAACTGCTGATTTTGTATTTATTCAGCACCATGGACAGTGACTCAGAGGTGGCGCACAAACACAAACGTCTAGCTTCCTATTAATATCAACCTCTTTACAGTATGAAAGTCATACTGTTAAACTTCAGCTTCGGTCTAAAGTTCTCCCTACTGGGGTGGGGGTGAGAAAACAATAACATGTTCAAAACAATGAACAGAGCGTGACAGTTTTACCTGCTGTGTCCGTGTTGTGCTGCAGGAGGGCGGGCAGGCGCTCAGTGGTCTGCCTCAGTGACGCATTGGCGGACACCTCCGGAGAATTAGTGCCGCCTCATTTGTTCTGCAGGTGACCAGCAGGTTTAAGCTCTACATAAGCCTCTCCAGCGCTGCGCTCTTTATTAAGTCGGCTGCTTTATTTGCACAAACAAGTAACTTTTACGAATGTCCAATTAGACACCAAGTAAAGCTTGCTATTAATGTCATTTTTGAGAGTCTTTTTTTTTTCCTTAGGGGAAAAGACTGACATACTGTGTTTTACGTATCAGGAAGATGGATAAACATCTCCATCTAGAGGCCAACTTTGTAATTTCATTATTTGTAAACTATTTTCTTAAGTTTCAAGTAAATAATAATACATATGTAATTATTAATGCTGCTTATTATCATTGTATATATATATATTTTTGATTTTGTGTGCTTGACATATATAAATAAAAAAATAAAATAAAAATAAAACATAAAAACTACATGTTCATGACCACTATGAATATATAGTGGTCATACACTTTCGAAGTCAGAATCTTTGAGCTTTATTATTACATTTCCAAAAGCTTGGAGGAAAATCATTTCAGAAAAGCGATGTAAGGTTTCAACCAATCACGCGTTTCCTTTCCTCACACGCCCACATGCTGCTAACCCCGCCCTCGGCGTGTCACATACAACAGTGCTGCCTTCATTTACCCTCAAAAGAATTTGAGATGCAGCATATTAAAGCCTTGTCTTATTTGTGTATTTGCTTTACTCAAAATTATTATATTTAATAGGCAAAATTAAATATATTTGCTTATATTCACTCACTGAAAAAGCAGATTACGTGACAATGTCTCAATCGGTATGACAGACACATGGCTCACTAAGTATTTGTGAAATACATGTAGCGTCACATTGACGTTGCAGTACAAAGCTGGTCTGGTCCTTAAATAATGAGAGTAATGAGATATTGCTATTCTTTCTCTTTTTTCCATCCATACTATATCGCTTGCCTCTCATTCAATTTGTCAGAAAATTACAATTTACGACATTGCTCAGAGCACGTTAAAGCATCATAGGTCCACCCGGTGAGTGCTGTGATATTGAGAGGTCATACATTTTCAAAAATCAAAGTAATTGGACCAGGTACGTTTTGGGCCTGACCGCATTTATTTCTCTTATTATTTTCTACCACAACTCGATTAAGTTGACATCATTTGCTTTGTGAAATATGTCCTTCCAACGGTAATTAAAGTGCTAGCATCACGGTTTTAGCTTTTAAACCAAGTAGCTAGCTGGCTCAGTATCGCCTGGAAATAATTGTGTTTGTTTACTTAAATGGGGTCTGTTTTATCGTGCGATCTGTGATGACCAACACGGCTGGGATTCAATTTGACTTTATCCTCCTGACGAGTTGTTTTAGTGTACCATAGCGTGGATTCAGTTGAGCTACCATGCTAGAAGCTACATTGCTCTAGCATCTCATGACTCCCTACATCTGTCACCGGGTGTGTCGTGGTTTTGTTCAGCTTCTTTCCTAGTTTCCCGTTTTTGTTTTGTTTTGTTTTTTTGCGGAACGAAAAACCTCAACTTTTTTTGTGGTTGTGGCGTTTTATTCACGGGATCAGTCTTGCTTTTGCCTCTAAACATAGTGAAATAACTGCTATTTAAACCACAGTTAGAGCCTTACTGTATTATGGTTGGGCATCTTTTTTTGTAACTCTTCACTTGGATCTGTGTGAATTAAAAAGTAGATAACATTTATGTTTTACATAAAGTTTTCATTTCAAATAAATCTATACATTTTTCTCTGGTGTATAAATACTATCCAGGAAAAACTAGGAAACCTCCAAAACCCAAACTCAGTTTTCTTTGGGTTTTTTATTATTATTATTTTATTATTATTATTATTATTATTTTATCAATTAGGTCTGGAAATTACTGCTGATCCAAATTTGACCCCTTGCAGATAAATTAGTCTTAAATTAAAAAAAATTAAAACATCTGAAACAAATGTTTTTATTTTATCATAGCTTATCTTGCCACTAGGTAGATGGCAATGAAGGTTAACTGATTTCCATTTAAAAAAAACATCTTATTAATGTGTCTTCTGGTTGCAAATATGCAAAGATTTGTACTTAGACCTGTCCATTAGGCTAATCGACTCATATGAAATATATGAAAGTAATTACACCACATTCTTGGTTAAAATCTACCAGTTTTTTCCAGCTACAAAAATCAGAAACAGTTTACTGGTCTGGATGTCAAAATGAAAGAAATTCTGCAGCACCTTCAAAAACGTTCATTCATGAAGTGCTTTCACTTTTAAACTTCCAAAATTCAAGCACTTTTGAAGCCTTGGTTAAGCACATGTTTGTGGTTGTGCATTTTCAAGAATTTCAAGAACACTAAATGAAAAACGGACAAAAGGTCTGCTTGGTTGTACTGTCAAAATGTTTTCACCAGGCATTGTTTCACCTTTGTGTAATACTAATGCAAAAACAGCGCATTGACAATCATCAAAATTTGTCTAATGCTCTCCTTTACTTGTTCTGTGACTGAACATTTGAACTTGTGATTTTAAAATTACTATTTAATCTGTTATTTTTTATGATAAACATGCCAATTTCAAATCATAGTACCATAATAAAAACTAATTAATAATATTAATATTAATGAATATTAATAATTAGATGGATATTAGCATCAAAATGGTCTGGTTGTGATACGCCTAAAAGCTAGTCTGTTAGTGGTTTTCAAAAGATGTTAATAATTGAAATTTCTGCTTCTGATGGGAGAAAGTCCAGGATGTCTGAGGAGTTGTCGCTCAACATAAACATTAAGGAGCCGAGATGGGACCAGGGGACCTTCATGGGACGCGCCAAACACTTCTTCATGGTCACAGATCCCAGGAATGTCCTGTTGTCCTCTGAGACGCTGGAAGAAGCCAGAGTAATCGTAGAGAACTACAGGTGAGGTGATGGAAAATAGAGTCAGGCCTAAACTGAATCTAGCTTTCCCCTGGTGTTCCTGTATGAAAGCTCGAGTGTATTTACAATAACACTTATAACTTCAACACAACTTTTTTTTTCTGCCTCTTAAAAATTTCTGTGAAAATACAATGTCTTTATGCTGTTTTGGTATTTTCAGAGCTGGAACCGTGACTCCTGGCCTGACCGAGGATGAACTTTGGAGAGCCAAGTACATTTACGACTCTGCTTTCCATCCCGACACTGGAGAGAAGATGTTTGTGATTGGTCGGATGTCTGCTCAGGTGCCAATGAACATGTCCATCACAGGCTGCATGCTCACCTTCTACAGGTACAGCAGAGCTTCTGGCACGGAGATCTCTGATTAAACCCGCTTCGCACCCATCAAAAGTTCATTTGGCAAAATAATATCTGAAAGAGAAAAAAGCACAGGCAGCTTTGACATTGGATACAGCAGCACCTATAAATAGAAAGTTTAATCTGTATGCAGTGAAAATCCTCTTAAAAGAATCCGAAAAGCCACCCTCACATGTGAATACTGATAACTGACTGAGTTGATGACTTTTTCTTGATATGACAGCAACAATTAAATGTTGTCCAAAAAAGAATGACTGATCACAAATGACAAAGTTACAAAGTCATTTTATCTAATTCAAAATAATGTAAAAAAATATACAGCCCCATAAACCACATTTATTTATTTATTTATTTATTTATTAATATTTATTACTAAATGTTATATTATTACTAAATAGCAATTTTTACTGATACATACATGGTGTACCACTGTGTTTTTGTAACTCACCACTAGAGGACAGCAGTTTTTCACTGTTTACTTTTCATCTATATAGTTTGGACTCACTTTGTCATTTATAAATGTAATTGGGCAAATGAATGGTATGATTAACAAAACCATATTTTTTACTAAGCCTGGAGGCCATAAGTACGACTTTAAAAACGGTTTCTGTTTTTAAAAGTTTCTTCGCTGCTGTTTCTGGACAATAATGGCTCCTTCTGTCTTTGGTTCTCTTGAGGTAAAATTCCAATTTGTCATTTTGAAGTCTAGTGGTTAAGAGGCTAAATCTTTTGCTTTCTTTATCCTTAGAACACAGTTGTTTACAGCAAGCATCACAATGTAGATCTGTTTCCATAGTGTCAAAGCTTTGCACACAAATGAGATCACAAGCAGGAAATCAAGTTTCTGTTGACACGACCATCCATGGCTTCCTCTACACACACGTCAGGTCTGTTCGTATGACTATTATAAAGCACATGTTAAAGGCCTGTGTTCTGGTTTACAGCAGACTTTGGTATTATGCTAACTTAGTGTTTGGAGTGGACTGGAGCATTTTTGTATGCTGCTATGATTACTAGGCATTATTAACCACTTGTAGATATCATCACATCCTCAACTTCATATGAAACCACTTGAACCCCTTCACGGGCCCCTTCACCCCCGTGAAGCAACCTTCACGAGGGTGAAGGCCCCTTCACCCCCGTGAAGCGGCCTTCACGGGTGTGAAGGCCGCTCACCCCCGTGAAGCGACCTTCACGAGGGTGAAGGCCGCTCACCCCCGTGAAGCGGCCTTCCTGTTTCCCTACAAACAAACCCTGCTGCCTACCTGATAAATGATGTATTTGCACAATCAAAGTAGTGGGTTTGTGGGTTTCATGTTAAGTGGAATGTAAACATATAGGCGTTATTGTGTCAGAGCTGTTGTGATTAATGTCTGCTGTGATGCAGAAGCATTAAGAATTACAACGTGGTGACAATACTCAGTGTTTTAAGAGGAACTCTATTCTGTTGTCATAAGAAATCTTAAATTTGATTGAAAATGTGTCTTTGTTAGGCTGTTTCACTGAAAGTTTGCAATTTGTGCACAGACTGTAAATGCATAATGTCTGCAGACATGTTATAAATACTTGAATAAGTTACTTTAAGTGAAACTTACTCTAAGCTTTAATGTCACATCACGTAGTTTATACGTGATGGCTGCCGTGTTCATATTTGAAAAAAGCAAAACTAAATAAGAGTGAATTGTCACTTCCTCTAATGGGCGGTGGCTGTTCTCTTGTGTTTTCAGGACTACTCCAGCAGTCGTGTTCTGGCAGTGGGTTAACCAGTCCTTCAACGCCATTGTCAATTACACCAACCGCAGTGGAGACGCTCCCATGACCATGAAGTAGGGAGGATCTCTCTCTTCTCCTCCCGTGTAGATCATTGATTTCCTCCCCTCTAAGCTATTGTCTGTAAGGAGGATGTGGGAGCTGCTGTTCTCTGCCTTGCAGTGGTATTATGTTCCACAGTTAAGCATGTTTCAGATTCATGTCACCCTGACCCCATGCTGGCATCTGTTACTGCCTGGCCTCTTGCGTCAGGTTAGCCCGCAGCTGGCTAACCACTTTGCTGTGTTGTAAAACATGCATTCAGCTCATTCACTGGCTGCAGATATGCATCAAACATGTACAATTAGCAAGACCGTGAAGCTGAAATATTGCACTTATTTTCTCTCTATACTTTTTATTCATCTTTAACTGCAATCTCTGATCTTGCACTTAATGTTTAATTCTCTTGAACTACATTTTTGCTGCATGTCTCTTTATGCTGTGGTCTTCAGCTAATTTAAACTTCTGGCAGTTGCGAAAAATGTGGTTGGTGTTTTAACCGTCTTCTTCTGTGCAGCCAGCTTGGTGCCGCCTACGTTAGTGCCACTACAGGAGCTGTGGTCACCGCACTCGGACTCAAGTCTCTAGCTACGGTAATTCTTCTGGTTCACACGAATAATTAAAGTAAATCCAACAGATGTGGATCCTCGATGTGATGCCGGTCTGTGCTCCTGTCCTCGCAGCGTCTCCCCCCAATCGTCAGTCGGTTTGTCCCTTTTGCTGCCGTGGCCGCTGCCAACTGTATTAATATTCCCTTCATGAGACAGAGGTGAGATTTCTAGAGTATTGATTAGCGAACACTTCCTGTTTCACTTAGTAGGGAGTTTAAGGACATTTCCGACGGTTTCTGTTTCCTTCTGTCAGGGAACTGAAGTACGGCATCCCGGTGATGGATGAGAATGGAAACCGGTTAGGAGAATCTGCCAACGCTGCCAAACAAGCCATCGTTCAGGTGGTTGTGTCCAGGATTGGCATGGCGGTGCCTGCAATGGGTAACTCAACCTTGCACCTCATGAATGAATGTGTACAAAAGACTTGCACCAGTAGATGTAGGGGAAGGTCGTTCTACAAAGAGTTGATTCAAGTAACTATAATTTTTCTTTCATCTCATTACTTTAGATGTTGGTCAAAACAAAGAAGGTTCTTGGCGAATGAATGTCTTTACATGACACCATATTGGTTCAGTGCAGAACAGGTTTATTTTCAGAGAAGAATGCAACTTTTTTTTTTTTTTCCTTCTGGGTAGGGGCCACAAAATCTTCCCTCATATCTGACTTGCCGTTTTTGGCCCAGTTTAAATAAAAATCTGATGCCCGGGAATGTCAACATTGCTGTTTTTCCAGAGTTTTGCAAGTGCATGCAGACAAAATAAAAGCAGCTGAGGCCATTCTTCATTAGATAAGGTTAATCTGAATGAATGTTGTGTACAGAGGATTACTTTGATCTGATCAGATGAACATTTAATTGTAGCTATGTTGGAAGATAAAAGACTGCCTTTCCCTGAAGTGACGCGTTTTCTTTTCACTTTTCTTGTTTATCGGGCCGAAGCAACCTTGACTCATTTTTATAAAAATATTTTTTTACAGCCATTCCTCCTGTTATAATGAACGCTCTGGAGAAGAAAGCCTTCATGAAGGTAGGCGCACAACATTCTTCAGGCCAAATGAAATAGGGAGGAAAAAGCTTGGTCAGCGACATGAATGTGTTTTGCAGTTTTATGGCAGGACTTTGTTATTAGGTCATTTGTAGACATTGATTTGAATTATGGTATTTATTAGCTTAAAAACCATACTTTAAGAGAGAGAGCAGTTTTCCTATTCTTTTTTCAATTGTAAAGGTCAAAGGTTAACCTGGAGAGAAGAATGCTTCAGGAAGCCCAGAGCTTCTAGGTAGACTGCAGATGAATGGCAAAAAATCCTTGTTAACTCTTCTCAACTGGAAGAGTTAACAATAATAAATATAAACTCCTTTCATACAAAGATGCATTTGCTAAAAAACATTCTTAAATATGTCATCAGAATACAGCACCGATAACATAGAGAAAGTTGAACACACAAGACCTGACATTTGCATCACAGTTGGTGATGATGACATCATCACAGATGCACATCAAATTTGGTGTAAATCTGCCTCATTTTTTCTTTTTTGTTAATTTTCTTGTAGCGTTTCCCAGTTCTGAATGCTCCTGTCCAAGTGGGGCTCGTCGGTATGTGGTGAGTAGGAGAAGCTTATATTCTCTAAACGTGCTTTGAAATTGCAACAACAATTAAAATTCCCTTTCTGTTCTTCTTTCCAGCCTGGTGTTCGCAACGCCTCTCTGCTGCGCCCTGTTCCCTCAGAAAAGGTACGTCCAGCAACTTCCTCGGTGCGTCTGCACTGGTAGAGAAGTGTTATCTAATGTGAGCTGACTTCAGAGTAACGGTTAACCATATCTTTGCAGCTCCATGAGCGTGAGCGGACTGGAGCCAGATCTGCAGGAGAGTATACGGCAGCGAAGTCCAGACACCACCACCGTCTACTTCAACAAAGGCCTGTAGGCACATGAGCAGGAAACATACAAACACACACAGATACATGTCTGTTATCACGGGCAGGAGTGAGAGTGAAAAACATTTATTTATGCTTTTGCAGTCATTTTTATTTTTGGTATATATTCGGTTCTTGTATTTTCATTTCGTCTTCCTCTTGATGGATAACACAGGAAGCTGATAATCACTGACTGGTGATTTACTTCATGTTACTGTTATTGTCCTGCTAGAATATTCAAGTTATAAATGAAGGTTTTTCCTTTTAGTTGTGTTTCCTGAATATAACGTTGCCTTGTGTGTTATCTTTGTTTTGACCGGGGTTTTCAACCTGTGGCTATGTTAGCCTTCCCAATTGACTCTTAATATCTTGGAAAAATGTAGAACTCAACTGTGGTTTAGATCTAAATGTGATACAAAGTAATACTTTCACCTTGTTTCTGTGTTTTCTTGTCACATTTGCACAGAATCTCCATAATATAACGACTAATTGTACAAAGATTTTTTTTTTTTTTTTTTGCATTAGGCCATGACCTGGTGTGTTTTCCCTTAGTTATTTAGAATATATGAAACTTCTTCTAAACCATAAAATTGTGATTTTTTAAAAAATTGTATTTATTTTATTTTTTACCATAAAACAAGCACATTTTAAATAGTGGGAATAAGACTGCAAATAATTATTTTAGTAGTCGTAATACAGAGTATCTATTACTCTGAAAATCGGAGAAAATAATTGGCACCTTCTGCAGATTTTTTATGTCTTTCTACAATACTAGAAATACATTAAAATATAAAAATAAATGCAACTAATCAAATTCCCTTTTAAATAAGAAAATCAAATGTTGCCTTTAGTGCAACAGCAGCGTTGATTCAATGTAAGCTTGATCACTTGCAAAAGATTCATCTGCAGTTAAAAAATATATACTTTTAACATAAACATGTGAGAAGCTTGACTGATGTGTTGACTATTTTATGAATTATCTGATTAATAACTGGACAACAAAATGTTCTATTGGAAGATTGTATTTGAACCAGGTAGAGCTAAAACACTTGAGGAGTTTTTTAACACATATTTACAAAGAAAAAATTTAAATTGTTTGTACAGGTTTGGCTTAATTACTACCGTGGGTATTTTTTTTTTTTTTTAGCATATGGTATATTTTAGAGTCTGTGTGCTCCAGTTAACAAGTAGCCACTTACTAAATTAGTTGGCAATTAATTCAATAATCGATTCATCACAGTTAATCTGACCCATCGTTACAGCCCTAGTGGGTATTTATAATGTCTATCAGTTTTTGAATGGTCATGCAGGGTTTGCAGATCAGGACAGAACTAATTTAAGAGCAGCTAGGTAATAAATGATTTATAAAAGTTTCTAACCCCTAATTTTGACACATCACACAAGCTATGTGGTGTAAAATCTTTGCTTCTATTTTTTGCTAAAAGTAATCCCCTGATGTGGGTTTTTGTTTTGTATCACACAGCCACTGGTTATCAAGAGCAGCTCTTTTCAACTGTCCTTCAAGTGTACTTAAACCTTTAGGTACATGTGCTTCAGAAAATGTTTAGAGGACATAGATGAGTGTAGTTTATATTACTCTAAGAAGCCCCATTGTTTTTATCTACACGTCGCTCACAGGAAAGAAGTAAAAACTGTACTGATCTAACTTCAAAATCTCCACCTTACTTTTATGCGTATATTAAATGCAGATAATCGATGCCGACATATAGGCATCAGAAATCTTTCAAACAAACCTCTCTCTCCTCTTCATTTAAATTAAAAATACAGTAAAAAAGTTTTTTTTTCCGTTTTATTTACTGTTTTGAGAACTTTGCTTACACCATTGAGATCCAGTTCTACCAAAAGAAATTAGTAAATGCTGTAACAAATTTTAAAGTGTAAATGTTAGATGCACAGTGAGCTTCAATAATTGTTTTGAGCCTCTAATGTCATTTAATGAGGTCACCGAACACACAGCTAGCTATTCAGGGTGATTACATAGTGATAGTGGTGTATGTGAGGGTATACAAGTCGTCATAGTGTTTGTCGTAAATTACATTGAAACTAGCATATATTTTCTGAATACTAATGTAAAATACGGAGCACAGATATATGCCCTGGAGAATAAGGTCAGCTGCTAGTTGATAGGAGTTTTGCTGCATCTGAGTGAGACTTCCTCATACTGAGTGCTAATGAGTGATCGTCTTCTGAGGAAACTCACTATTTACAATTTACCAGCAATCATTTAACACTTGTGCAATGAGATGCTTTGAATGCTCCTGTTTAAAAAATAAATATATATATATACATATGTAGTGACAGTAAGACTGTACAGGCTATGTTTGTAGTGAGGTTTGTGATTGTGCAATTACCCATTTATTGTAAACCAATGGAAAAGGTGAAGGGACTAATGAAGGGACACTTCACCTTAGTGTCCCTTCACTAAGGTGAAGGGACACAAACCTACAGGTGCATCTTGATATATTAGAATATAGTTGTAGAGTTAATGCATTGTACTTCGTAGTATGGAAGAGGTCAGCTTTGACTGCTGAAGTTTTGAGGAATCAAACAATGGTTAATGGTTTCAGAAACCATCAATTAAACGATTTTAAATTGTTTAACATTTATATGCAAGATTTTAAGGAGCTGGCAAGTTTGTAAAAGTACAAAGAACAATATCCATAGCTAAATTGTTTTGTTACCATAGCAACAATCTGATGCTATGATGTAAATCTTTGAGTTTGAGCTCTGTTTGTTCACAAATACTAATTGGTGAACTGTGATTATAACTTATTGCTTTTTAGGTTGGCCAATTAAACTACTCCCCCTCTTCCGGATTTGACTAAATCAAACACAGAAGGTGTTAGAGGTGCTAATGTTTTTAGCAACAAAAGGGGCCCCGAAGTCAAATTCTGCTCCAGGCCTCATACAGCCTCGGAACGGCCCTGCTCCAGTTAAATTCGCTGCACTGCGCAGAGATGCGCAACAAACGGGAGATTTGATTCAAAGCTGCTAATGTGGCTTTAGTGCCTCTTCCATTTCGTGTCTGTTGAGTTTTTAACAAGGGACACAGAAAGTTTTACTTTTTTAAACTGAAGTACAGGAACTGATATAAATGATATTCTAATGTATGGAGATGCACCAGAAGGTAATTGTGATGGTATATTCTGGAAATGTAATGGTTCTTAGCAGTCAAAAGTCACCAGAATATATTGATTTTTTTTTTTTAATTGATTATCATGTAAAACTTTGCAGATTCTGTGCGTTTTAATGTAATTATGACATGCTTACTCCATGACTACATGCAGCACTACCTTTGAGTCTCTTCCCTTTAAATGCTTGAATCAAACACATGATTGTGAAGATAGGAGACGGGCCAGCAGCGGTCTGTGGTAAAAGCTTGTTGCTGCAGCAGTGTGGATGTGTTGCTGTGTGTTGCTTTCATATTGAGGCTGATGCTGCACTATATTATAGCCTTTGCTGTTTTACCTTCTAGACCTGAGTGACTTCTGTTGTTCTTTAAAACCCGCGTTTTACAGCGTGCGTTGAATGTGTGTTTTGTTGTTTACTGAACAACAATCTTGAGGTGGCTAAACAATAATTCTGCAAACTTTGCTCATCACTAAGGATTTTCTGCAGCTCTTAGCTTACCAGGAATAGAACAAACAGTTTGATTCATCTCAGCCTTTAACTGTACCATTATAACCTGATGCATCCAAAGACAAGGCGGCTAAGAACTCATTGGGGAAGTAATAATCTCTTGATGCAGCTTTTTCTCAGCTTTATGATGTAGACTTCCTCATGCAAATCATTTATGTGTACATGTGCCCCTCAGCCTGCACAGTGCTGCATTTTACACCAAACTGTAAGAAAATCCCAAAGCACAGTCAGGAGTGCAAAGTTACTGAACTAGTTATGTACAAATACCAGCATATTTTAGTTGCCATTTACTTTAACTCTCCAAAAACACTGTTGAACACTTGACACTGATCTTGACTTTCACCTCTGTTTTGCATGCTTTGACTGCTGAAAGCACAAATGTAAGAACAATCCATGTTCTTGTTACACTCCATGAATGTTATTGGTTTTCTGTTATGTACATTTAGACTTGTCAGTATTGGTGCACAGTATTTTTTCTCCCTCTGTTTTGTATTGTTCAAAATGTTTCCTTGATGTAAGATGTATTTTACCGAGAGCAATAAAAGCAGATGTTGAAACCAGAGTGAATGTGTAATATGTGATTGCAGTGTGAGGAAAGACAAGGAGCTGAAGCACAGAGACAATTCCCGAGTTTCTATGCATATTTGCATGTTCATCTCATTTGACTGAAAACTTCAGAGCTTTTCGTAATTTTTAAAAAACTGAGATGTTTTTAGAGTAATCAGCCTTTGCAAACTTTAGAAACTGCTAAAGAAATGCAGTGCACCCAAATTCAACTTGAAAAGTCTAAAGACTCATGCGGTCTTATCACTGATAAGCCCTGATTTTGCAAGTTTTTTTTTTTTTGGTTAGAGATTGAAGATTGATATATAAACTTTATATATCAGTTACTGGTATAACTGCTCTCAAGCCGATGGAGTCAATGTAAACAAAGCTTTATGAACCTAGTTTAACGGACATATCACTGTCAAATGATTTAAACATTAAATAATAAACTTTTTAAAATATGCATGTTGTGTAACCCGCAATCATAAAGTAAATTATTTAAATTAAAAGCTACTGTTGGTCCATCCACCACGGATAACAGCGAAGGACCCTTCAAGACTGCCTGTGGGCAAGCCATTAAAGTCAGGTAGGGGCAGGACCATAATAATATTCCACCTGTAATACCTGAATGTCCACTATATCTAATATTTTAAAACTACCATGTCAGTAAGTGTCTGAAAACAACAAGAATATGAATTACTGCAGGACTGATTTCCTGCAGTGTGAAAATCTACATGTACTTAGATGTGAACTGTTCTGGTCAGTCTGGTGCTTTAGTTTATGCTGTTCTGCTGTGCATTTTTACATGCATGTGATTATGTCTTGTTTAATCTGTTCACTCAAATGTGTGAAACTGCATTACATGCATCAGTGGGCCCTTTGTTTCTGCTTTCTCTAGCAAAGTGCTCAATGTTTGGATTTGCTCCAGGTGCCTGCAGTGGCTTGATTTATTGGGCTCCTCCTTTTTCTTTTAATTTCCTGTAAAATGTTGTGCGCTCTCCCAATCCCAGTTGTTGAAGCCACACCTTGCACAAACAAATGAAATGCACTTTATACTATGTATATATTGTTCATCATTTCACTCTTGTATGTGAATGTATATTGTGAATGTTATTGGTAATGGATGAAGGAAATGGAAACTAGCTTACTTCAGCATGTTTACATTTGCACTGGTTACAATGTTAATGTGACCTTTTCAAATAACTTTTAAACATTAAATTAAGAATTGGGAACAGCTTTCTATATTGTTTTCATTTCGGTAAAATATGCACCTGGCAAAAGGAATATTGGTGACGACATTGGACAGTAAACCCTTTCTGAAGTTAATCATTTCAACATATCAAGAGACTTGACATTTCGGTGAAACTTGTATAAGGTTTTCAACATAAAATTTGGAAACTTCAGATTGTCTGCTAGTGGTAAAAGTTCAGTAGAGTGGCTGTGTATCGTTTTCTCTTCCACTTCACCGTGTTGCTCTATTGCACAAAATGTCAATAAAACATAAAATGTTAAAAACATAAGAGGTAAGAATATTGTTACAAAGCACTGCTGCTGGGGTTTTGACATTTTGCTGTACAATCCAAAAGTATGCAAATATAAATTGTAAATTTTGAATTAGGATTTGGAGTAAAATAAGTTTTTATTACATATGATGAACTTTAACTAAGAGGAATGCATGAGATATTTTTGTTCATTTCATGTTTATGTTACGGTTCACTAGAAGTACAACAGAGCATATAAACAGGGTTTTTTTCCAGACCTTTTAAAACAGGATCGTCCATGTTGAAATATTTCAGGAAAACAATTGTTCCAATGACAGGTGCAGCACAAGCAAAGAATACAAACCCCAAAGATTCTGATATTGCTGCAGTAAAATGAACACACAAGGGGACCTGGGGAACAGTGATGATTTATTCATCTACAGATTGGAAGCAAGTGTCCAGGTACAAACAGAACATTCCTCGCATGAAAACACTCGTACAAGTAAAATAAAACCTGAAGCGCCTTAAACACTCCCCAGCATAATGACAGCAGCTGAACCTGTGTGTGTGTGTGGGGGGCATCAAACCTGCTCCTCTCTGCACTGAGTTTAGAGTCAAGTTGTCATTATTTCACACACACAGACCAGACACTGCTGTCTCCAATGACCGAGGATGTTCCAAGGACGGACAAGTTAAGCTTTAACGTGTTAAACACATGACAAATATAGCAGTTACATATGACGGACTGATGATTAAACATCACACTTCAATATGACATCAAGCCTTTGGAATTCAATAAGTAGCTTGGATCTTTTTCAAGCGATGCTTCGTTTTATAATCGCTCTACCTGAATCTTAATGTATCTGAAAGAAAGTACCTTTCTCTGATTATAATTAGAAAAAAAACATATCTGTGATAAACATTCATTCTGTCATGTGCCTTAAAATGCAATTTCATATTCAACACCAAAATTACTTGGAGGTATATTGCCATATTAGTCAACGTAAAAAGAATTATCTGTTCATTTTAGCTCTGATCTAAATCAACATTTCAGTGGAACAATTTTCTGTGCAGCCTCCAGGACGTCTGCTATGTCCACCTTGTCGCCAAACTCTTTCTCTTGGTGCTCCAGGAGGATTCCCTGCAAAACAGCACACGCGGTTCAGAAGAAGGGTTTTTTTTTTAAGCCGCGTGATAATAATCTGCGCTGTTCAGGTTGACGGACAGATTACCTGATCTCCTGGGCCAATGACGAACACTCCTCCCAAGATGAAGCCCTCGCCGAGCAAGTTACCTTCGTAACCAGACCTCCAGGCCCGAAAAAAGTTCTGCCACACCCCAAGCCGGAAGAGGCCTAGCGCTCCCATTTTTCTCTCCAGTGGTCCATAGAAACGTTTCTAAAATCAAATTGAGTTCTGGTTAGTGCCTTGAAAAGAATCCATGCTAACATTTCATTACCTTTCAACAACAAGCTTCACCTTTCAGCATGACAGACCCTAAACATTCAGCCAGAGCCACAGTGGGAACTAAGATTCAGAAACTCTCCTAATATGACATTAATCTTGGGAACTGTACAGTGAAAACATTAAGATTCCAGCTGCTGACCATCTCATCTACGTAGATGTCCCCAGAGAAGTGCGGTCTGAAGTCCTGGATCTCTGAGCCGATGTTCTCTTTAACCACGGCAATCAGAGGGACCCCGAGCTTTCTCAGCTGGGGCTTCAGAGAGGACAGCTCAGAGGCCTCCTGTGGATGGAAGAACATGAAATCATGAGAGGAATTTAAACTGTTAATCTATGCAAGCATTGAAACGTCAAGTCTGGTTCTACCTCTCTGCACAAAAATCATCCAGGCCGTCGTACGGCCATGACCACCGCTCCACTCTTCTGCCACAGGCTCTTCGCTTTTATAACGGTTCCATCTACAGACAGAAAAAAAAGACTCTTTACCACAGCCTTACATCTTAGTCTACAAGTATAGATTTAGTTAATGTGGACTAGAGAAAAGATGAACTAGAAACAAATATGGGAGTCTAATAGTTCTGTTAAAAATGTGAAGAAAATTTGAAAATAAAAATTGTTCAAATACATAATTAGAGCCCCAAAGTTCCTCTGCATTTATGTCAACTTTTATATTCACACTTATGACTGGATCAGAATATTGTAGTGCTTATTAAAACATGTTAATGTTATGTTAAAATCACACAATCCCAGCAGATTGCAAACATAAAACCTTTAACAGCTACACAAGTGATTCTGCTGCTGACTGAAACCTAAACTTCTTTCTGACTGTCTCAACAATGGATTTACGTCATCACATATTAATAAACATCAGCCTACCGTCCTTGGTGGAACGCAGATCGGCTTCTTCCAGTTGCTCCAGCAATACGTTTCGACCTTTAGGAAGACAAATGTCAGTGTTGACCAGGAAGATCCCAGCCAGGGCCGCTCCGACAGCACTGATGCCCAGGACCAGGCCCATCTCGATCAGGGCCCCCTCCAAACCAGACACTGCAGCAAAACAGAGCCATCATGAGAGAGATAGAACACACCTCTCCCTCTTAAATATGACTCAACTAACAGGACTTAAAAATCTCTTTTTTTTTCCTTCTGCTTTGTTTGGCAGTCGTTTCTGCTACAATGTGTCACTGCAGAGAAAGCTTATCTTTTCTGAAAAGGGGAGGCTAAATCTTTCTGAAGCTGAGTGATCAACAAGATCCAGCATGTTCACTCATTGTCTTCTTCTACATATTTTCAGTGTGATTCCCGCCAGCAATATCTCGTTGTACTCTAATCTAAATCTCACTTATGAGATTAGAAAGCTCAGCTGCACATCAGATCCTTCTGACAGTGGCTACTGTTTGCTGAAAACCCGTTTTAAAGGCAGCAAACACAAAACTTTCGTTTGTGCGAACTGAAATTTACCCATTTTAAAATTACCTGCCATATAATTATACAATTAAATGCAGATATTCCTTCTCCAGTTGCACCGACCTAATATTATTTTCTTTGCAATGACTCCTTGACTACATCAGCAGAAAGTCAATAAAAGTAAACACTTTCATTTAAAGGTAACCTTTCACATCACAATGATTATTACTCTTAATGAAACAAATAAAAATTAGCATCAAACTAAGTAACATCTGTTTTGGCTAGAACAACTCCTCCAGACTACAAAGTAAGACAACACTGGAGAATCATTACACCCAACAACATAACCACAGAGAACAGCTAATTGGTGCAGGAGTCAAATATGTTCTTGCCTGAGGTGATCTTGTTTGGATCAGGACTTGCTCTGGCTTTACTTTGGTGAAATTGAGCAGTCTGGCCCTTTAGAAACTGAGGGTCGGCTGTGACGGAGCAACGCAGGGGAAGCCTCCAGCTCAAAGCCGCTGAACATCTGGACAGAGCCAGCATGGTGGCAAAAGTCTGAGCCTCTTACTACACACACACACACACACCCTCAAGAGTTCACTGGAAGACACAGAAAACAAAACTTTTTTTTTTTTTTCTAAGCAGCATAAACTGAACTAAGTCTCTACCAATGCTCAACTTCAAGGTGAATTAATGCAACAGGCTTGGAAGACTAAGAAGAAGACAGAATTTCACACCTCAAAACTTGTGGTTAAAAAAAAAAAATGCAACAACTCTCTTAAGAGAATTAGTGGTGGCTGTTATCTTGATGCAAGTAAAATGCAAACGTCCTCCATCTGCGTGTACACTTCCTTTTACATTCTAACCTCATGCATCAACATGAAGTGCACAGAAATTCAAAAAAAATAAGATGCTGCAATCATATCTAAAACTATGTCAGAATAAGTTATGACACAAGTCTGGCTCATTTATCTAAACAGCTTTGATATAAGAAGCTCACTAACTTATCTATGTTGACAAAGGGAGAAAAAAAAATTCTCTCTTACTTCTGCTTCAGCTCATCCGTTGTGAAACGTAAAGCAACTAAAAATACATCGAAGTCACTGGGCTTTATAACACAGGGGACAAAGGAGGAGAGAAGCTCAAGAGCCAATAGAGACGCTAGCCAAACAAGGAAGAGTTTGAAGACTTAAGAAAAAAAAATAAGGATTTAGTGCTACAGACATTACACTGTCACATAACACTGAAGACAGCTACACTGTGTTCATCCTAGCACAACTACCTTCAAGATCCAATCCTGCACTAAAATGTTCTTCCATGCTAAAAACATGTATTTATTTACTTCTCAGTGGCTAAATGACTGTAAGCGACAGAAATCAACGGCGGACATTATTATAGAAACAAAACCAGAAAATAAACCAAATAAACCAAACTAGTTATGGTGATAATAGAACCTGGTCTGTTGTTGACTAGAAATGTGTTAGTATGCTGGGGCGAACATGCATTTCTGAGAAATAAAAATTACAAGAACATGTGGTAAAATTAATATATACAGTTTATGCAATAGCACAGTTTCTCTCAAAGGTTTACACAACCCTTGTTGAAATGTCAGGTGTTAGTGACATATGGTGAAAGTGAAATATGGAAATTCACCAAAAGAAATTAAAATGAAATACAACAATAAAAGCTTCCAATAACATATTTGCGTACATGCACACACTTTTAAGCAAATACTTTGTCGGAGCACCTGCTGATTCAGTTTCAGCATTCAGTCTTTTTGACTCAATAACTGTCATTCATTACAGTGAATATGAATGAGTTCAAATTGAAATTAGATGTGCTCTTCAGGAGTTCACTTACACATATATATACTCACAATATTAAAGGCTTAGCCAGACCGTAGAGCCAAATCTGACTGATAAAATGAAGGGGTCACTCGAAAACGGCCTGGACCACCGGGCATTTATCTTCACATTGTTTGACAAAAAGAGAAGCACAGCCAGACAGGATGAGCAAGTATAAATCAAAATGTGGAATGCAGGTAGACTCCAAAAGATTAGATGCTGAAATTGATTCAAAAAAGTGCTTTAACAACATAATGTTGACTCATGCCACAATGAATAGCCTATTGCTCATCACCGTTTTATTTATTTATTTTAAACAGATTTGCCTTGGAGATCAGCTGGAGAAAAAATGTCAGTTTATTTGTGGGGGAAAAAGTCCGGAAATAACTTATATGGATCAGATTTTTTTTATTCTTAACACCAAAAAACCTGAGGTGTGTTTTGTAAGCCACTAACTTATACAAATAACACTGTCTCTATTTCAGCAAACAGTCTCTATATATATACATATTTATGCTACAATTTATTTAGGATCAAACAGATATTTTGTTTTTTCTAAAAATGTAGAAATGACGTATTCACGTGACAACATTGGGCTACGTGTGTAGCTCAATGCAAGCTAAACAAATAAACTGATAATAAATAACCGCTTCGACACCAAGTTTGTCAATGACCTTGACAGTCCAGGCACATAATAATCAAACCCACAGTATCAACCCAAAGGGTCAGCAGAAAGCAATTTAATTTGATACAGTAATATCAAATGTTGCTGCATGTTACGCGAGCTTGTCCTGCACAGTAAAGCTGTAACTGGAATAACAAGTTCAGTGACGTCGACAAATAAGGACAGAGCGTCACCCGATAGACGCAAACCGTTTGGTTTTATCCTGAGCTTTAAAAAAAGTACCAAATGCTGAATGAATGAGTAAATGCCGAGTTTTCAACACAGCGACAGTAATGTTAAGTTGAGAAGCGTGTGTTACCTTAATATGGACGCACCAATATGAATGAGGTTTAACGAAACGCCGCCGCGACCACAAACGCTCCTTGGGTGAACGTAACGAGTCCAGCTGCGCAGGCGCACTAAACGATCACAGCACAGGTTAACTAATCGAAACAGATGCCTGGGAATGTCGATGCGAGGCGCTGTCTGAACAGTGATTTACAAAAGTTTTCCAGCCTCGCGAACATTTTCACGTTTTGTCAAATTACTATAAAATCTGATTAATTTATATGTTTTTGTTGGTTGAGGACCGGTGGGATTTTTAACCGATAACTTTGTCAGATTCTTTTGCAAATGAAATTCACTGAAAGAATAAAAACAATTGGCTTTATTAATTTGATCTTCTTTGTTACATTTATGAAGTTTTTAATATATTTTTTTTTTACCTTATTTTGCAGCTCACGGGTTTAGTTTAGTTTTTTTCGTAATAATATAAGTAGCTGCTGGGGTCCTGAAATCAAGTTTGGAGCAACATTCCCCTCTGCTGGAAGTTAAGAAGTGAAGTCGGAAAGAATCTTTGGTTTAATAATGTAAAACAGTATTTGCTTTTTTCCCTTACATTTAAGGCTATTTAATATTGAGAGTAAGAACATATTGGTGTTTTTGCGATATTCAATTTGACCAATTGAAGTTAATAGGATAGACAAAAAAAAACCTGCATCAATTTGACCTCTGCCCTCATGTCCAACCTTTTCTTTCAATATTGCCCTATATTTTCCCCATCCATCTTTCCATGAATTCCAACTAATTCCCTTGGTGATATTTTATCCTTACTTAAAAAAAGCATCCCCACAGCACAATGCAAATGCCAATGTGTCACTGTGTTGACACATAGTGGTTCTTATTGAGGTGCATTATTAGTTTTTCTTTATTTTATTTTTTTTTGTTTGACGTGAAAAAGGTCAAAAGAGTCTGAATGCTACTGCAAGGCCTTCTAAAGGGACCCAGTTACTGCGTTGCTAACACAACGTTTTAGCAATGGTGTAACTATTGGATTTTATTGGATTTTCATCTATTGATGCAGCTCAAGACATGGTTCAAATAAAATCATCTTTTCTGAAGCCTCTCAGTTTGTCTTGATTCTGTTATGAGAGAATGAGTCTGCTTTCCGAGCCCAAGGCCTTAGATGTCCTTTGCTTTATATTATCAGTCGTATCTCACTCTTGATCTAAGCCAATTCACTCATTAAAGGCTATACAAGAGAAGTAACCCTGTCTTTTTTTTAAGTGTGGCACTACAACTAACATAATAGATTGCTTGGCTGATTTTCTATCTCCATTTAAAACTGTTACTTATTTATGACTATGTTTACAATCACAAACAGTGAAGATAGTAGTTTTATTAGTCAGGCCATTGATTACAATTGTGTATGGTACAGTAAAGAAGGGTCAATGGTTTTGGAAGGTGTGTAAGAGGTTGAAGGTATATGCTAACACTCCACACTGTAAATATTTTACTTTACAGTTAAACGATTTACATGTTTTACTGTAACCATATGTCTTTTGTAAATTAGTCAACCGGAGAAGCTGTTTGCTATTGCTGCATTGCTCCTTTAAAGTCTGAGAAGACAGCGTACTACAGGAGATATACATTGGTGATATTTCAGTCATTCATGGCAGCTTCACTCAGGAATGTGCTGAAGATCCAAAATGGACTGGAACAGAGATGATCGAGTGACTCTCCTTTGCCCCAGCAGCTGTGATCCCTCTGGCTCCTCTACATGCTAACGGCTCAACTTGTGGAACAATTTCAAAGCATCTACTTTGAAACATAACAAATCACTTTTAGATTTAACTTTAAAAAATGAGAAATGTCTGCATTTAATTCATCAGTCAAAAAAAATAATTATATATGCATGTATTATGAAAAGGCACAGTGTGAGTCTATCCTTATCACACAGAAACACAAATATAAACAAATGTCTCACAGCCACTATTTGGACCTGATCAGCTTTGGCATTAAGCTTGTGGGACTAACAGCCAATCGCAGCAAAGGATTTTCACCCCACCTCCTGGAAATAGTTTCTGCTCAAAAGCATTGGTTAACTTATCAACTTCTTACAATCATATTGATGCCGGTTAAAAACCAACGTGATTAGCTTTGAAAGAATGACCAGGTTTATGACAGTACTTGTATCAGTTTGAGTTTATCCCTTATTTGTCTTTTGTTTGTTGTCAACTAACTACTTATATAACAAGTTTCCCTCAGCCTTTCAACCGTACTGATTATATGCAGGTTTGGTGCGATCCCACTTACTGTGTTTGCTCCAGATGAAACCAGTTCGATGCCAGGCGAGCTCAGAGCCCAGAGATGTAAGTTGTGGGTGAAAACTGAGTGTCCTTGAACTTGAAGAAAGACTAACAGGTGTTAACAACCCCTGAAGTCCCGGGCTCTTATCTTGTCCTGTTCTGTCAAGTTTCAGCCTGTCGTACTCTCATCTGGCCTTTGACCCGGTTTTTAAATTGAAACTCGTCAGTGTTTATTGTGACGCACATTGCCACCAAAAGTATTTGCACTCCTTGAATATAAGCGCTGTGGGAAAAAAACCAAAAATCTTTTGTTTGGGTAACTTTTCTCTTGATAAATGATCTCCTTTAAAAAATTTATTTTGTATTATTTACTCAGGTTGTCTTTGTCTGATATCAACATTGTGTGATGACCTGAAACATTTAATCAGGACAAATAATCATTCTGACCAAGTCCATCTGGGAGCAAAAAAAAAAAAAAAAAAAAAAAAAAAAAAAAAAGTATTGTATCAAAAGTATTTCACCCCATAAGTCAATATTTTTATAGACACCTTTATTGAAGTCACAATGTGTACATATTGATGTTTTTGCCCATTTTTTAGTAAAATAGCTCAAAATCAGTCAAACCTGATAACAAGTTTCTATGAACAAATTTCAAGTCTTGCTGCAGATTATGTAGTCAATCATTTTGTTTCATTCCATGCAAAATAAAAAGCATCCCCACAGCATGATGTTATCACCACCAAGTGAGTGGAGACATTTTCACATGATGGACTGAGCAGATGTTCAAAGGTTTTGATTTTTGTCAGATAGCATGATCAACTTTTAAACTGCTCAAGTATCTTCTTGATGGTCTTCTTTTTTGACTGGCAGAATAATTGAACATGGTGTACTGCAATGTACTCAAATCTTGGTGATTTGGATTGATGCAATAATTGTTTGAAACTCTGCGTATTCTTTCTGTGCACATAATTTTTATCACTCGTCATATTCACATTATTCAGACATCAAGTGTGTCTGAACTCTGATATCAGTAATCTTTCAACATGACTAGAACAATCTTGCTGAAGTAAAAAAAAAAAAAAAGTCCCATTCCCTGTCAGTCATTAACAGGTTCTTTGATGTAAATGCGTAGTCCCCATATTAGAGGGTGTTTAATGTTTGCATACATAACCAGTGTGGCTTGTCACTTTTGTCCTGGAGCAGCAGATTAGAGGCAGGTAAAAACAGATTCTGACAGAGACATGCAATTCTGCGGCGCTTGCTCTCTTTAGGATCAAGCGGGAATTTCATGTCTTCTCTAGTTTTGTCTAGTTGAGGTTTGTCACGCAACATTGACCTCTGATTATTTGTGTAGTGTTGTTCTCTTTCTGTCCTGAAGCACACTTGATTGTAACAGCTGGAAAGTTACGAAATCGCAATTGAAAATCTACATATCACCGTCAAACCAACTAGAGATACACTGCACTGCAAAAGTAATGGCACTCCTTCAACTTCTTCACATTTTATCACAGAAGACAAAACACAGAACGTAATTCATTATTTGTGCATACATTTCCTAATTTCAACAATCAGGGTACAAATTACAGCCCACATCCAATTTCTTGCACGGTTTAGTTAAAATATGTAGCCTTGGGAATGATCAAAGGCAAGAAACATTGAAATTAAAAATCAAGAATATTAGACTACTTTATATTTATACCTTTAAAAAAATCAAAGAAGCGCTTCAGAAGTCTAACTAATGATAAACTGCTGCAACGCAAAATATTTTAGATTCACGTCTCTTTACAGCTCAACTAATTTGGCCAGAAACAAATCGTGTCTGGTGCTGGCAAGCAGCCACTTTCTCTTTTCTTCATGTCTCACTACAGGCTGGTTCAACCTGGCTGTTTATGTCTCTGTCCAGGAAGGAGAGCAGCTAAAGCAGGTTACAAACCACAAACACACTATGGAGCATCACGCCAAACACAAAGGGTTAACAAGCCGTTTCTGTGAGCTGAGCTGCCCGCCCATCATCCACTCCCCCCCCCCCGGAGTGGACTGTACCATGGATTCACGTGACATGTATGTGTGTGTGTGTGAGTGAGTGAGTGACAGAGAGTGTGTGTGTGTGTTTGTGCGCGTCCCCCTCAGCCGTATATATTGAGCCATGTGGACTCAGACTTAGAGTTTTGCAGGACAGACCTTCTTTTGGCTGCAGAGCTTGTGACTTCCAGATCCTCGATACTTAAGTGAAGAGAAGCAGCAGGAATATATATTTGCTTTTAAGTCCCTGTTGGAAATCAAGAGGCCTTGTAAAATAACAATTCCAACAGGACAAAATGACTGATAAACTGGGCGACGGCTCTTTCATGTTCACCTCAGAGTCTGTAGGAGAGGGACATCCAGGTGAGTTTTTGTTTGAGTTTAGACTTGCAAAATGTAAAATCAGATTTTCTAGGTCAAAGAAAGCTTTTATAACTTGTAAAATCTCCCTGTTACCACAATTGAACATTGTAGTTTCTTTTAAACCGTGCCGTTTTAGATTGAACTCATGTTCAAAATCATTCTGCAGAGTTGGGTCTTTCCTCTTGAGGCATGCTTGGTGCTTCATTCACAGCAACATGTGTTTATGACCCCATCATCTTTCACTTATGGGAGAGCAGATGCATGTGCAGCGGCCTGGTGTGCGGTTGCACGCTAAATGGAAAAAGACAGCGTTACGTAAGGAAAACTTGGAAAACTTTTCTGAAACTTGCAGGAAAACTTGTTCAAATTTGAGCCTAAAAGATGAAAGCAAAGGGTCCCTTTGATCTGCAGGTTGCTGAGTGAAGGACAGACATTCACCCTTTGTCAATGTTTTGTAATCCTTTTACAAATATGTAATCATACAAAGTCCTCTGTGCAGAATCGATAATCAGTAAGTGCAGCTGTGTGGTAAACCACAAGTGCAACTTTAAGCCCTGAGTTCTGCATTAAGTTTTTCCTGTCGCCTCTCTGTTTGACATGTGTCTGAGTTGATCATTATTTTCATTTACAGTAGTTTGTGATGTGTATGGAAAGCAGCAGCAGCTGATAACACACCTCAAAGTCTGGTCTGTTCCCACACACAGTGATTAATTATTCAGTGTTCCCAAATGTTCGGACAGTTTGAGCGAACATGGAAAAAAAAAAAAAAAATTCTGTCCAACACTTTCTATGATGTTCTTAAACTGCAGACAAACTGGATTTCTGCGGAGTCCACCGGACCAGATGTTGGGGTTGTTTCTGATGTAACCTGTTTATTGCATTGCTTCAGCAAGATGACAAAGAGGGATGAATAGGGTGGCTGGGGAGGCATTGTCCCCCTCTGCTGCACTCAGACTCAACCAGCCGAACACAAAGCATCTTCTGATCCAAATGAAAACGCTCTGAGACAAATATACTATCAATATGTTAATAAAGTTGCAACAGACAGCTAATTTGTGTTTTTGAAAAAAAAAAACAGGATCAGCTTTCGTCAAAGAAACTAACCTGAAATCTCAGTTCAATCACAATCTGAGCAGGTGATTCCTCTATTAAGATGGAAATGATGGCTTTTGTTTAAGTCTTGTAACTTTGTCAACAGATAAGATTTGTGACCAGATCAGTGACGCAGTCCTGGATGCACATCTGAGGCAGGACCCAGACGCTAAAGTGGCCTGCGGTAAGTCAGCAAGAATTCACAACCATCTCATGTTCCGTTTATAAAACCGAGATGCCAAGAAATATCCAGTATGTCGTCGGATCGCAATGTTTTATATGAGCTTTCTTTTTATTAGTGTTTGAAGACACGATGCCATTGAAAATAAAACTCCCACATCACCTTCATTTATATTTAACACAGCAGCACAGCAGTATCATTGACTCGGCAAGACAGGGTTTGTTCAGGACAAGTCTAAAGATTCAGCACTAGAAGCAGTGCTGCTTTCACAAGCCACATAAATTGCACAAGTGCAACACTTCAGCATATAAAATTGAACTACAAGTCAAAAATGGCTCAAATTACTTATTATTAATGTCGGATAATTCTAAGCAAGACAGGGGAAATGTTTTACTTGCCTTGGCATGTTGGATGCTTGGCCTACTTTTTGGTTATTTCAGCTAAGTAATTATCTGATCACTTGTGAGCCGTCATACAGCATTGAAATACCATTTCCAGATGATTTGTTGCTCATTTAATATGAAAAAGTCACATAGCAGAAAGTAATGTACCAGGTCAATACGCAGCACAACGATGTGAATTTCACCCTATTAATTCTGGTTTGTAACCTGATCAGCACTCTGAATGGTGGCACATCAAAAGCGACACATTTCTTCAAACTCCACCATTTCGTCGTGTTTAGACCCACGTAACATGTTTTTTCCAAAATCCCATCATGCATAGTCAGCTTGGAAACGGTGTAACAGCGGCATTAGTATTGTTGACAAAGAATAGTACAATGTCAGTTCAGCCGAGTACTTAAACTCTGCACATACAAAGTTAGACCAGATTTCAATTCTGACTTTTTTCTTTTGAGATGACTTAAAGTTTATCACAGTTTTATTTAACTTTGACAAAGAGGTTTCATAAAGGCAACCCACTAAGCTCGGGAGCAGCTACCCCAAAGCCTCCAGATGCTGTGGCATTACAGGCTTTCCTGGAAGACCTTCCTGAGTCTAATGAATCCATTGTGATCGACAGAAACTGTGTGTAAGACCGGCATGGTGCTGCTCTGTGGAGAGATCACATCTCGGGCCAACGTGGACTATCAGAAGGTGGTGAGGGACGCTATCAAACACATTGGGTACGACAACTCTGAAAAAGGTGAGGCATATGACACAGAAAACAACAGGTATAGAGGACTCGAGTTGTCAGCGTTTTTAACTCTGAGTTACATTGTTGCCACCTGCAGGTTTTGATTACAAGACATGTAACGTGCTGGTGGCTCTGGAGCAGCAGAGTCCAGACATCGCTCAGGGTGTCCACATTGACAGACGAGAAGAGGACATTGGAGCAGGAGACCAGGTGGGACAGACTTCTCTTTGGTTTGATATCAAAGCTATGATGTGAAACATTAAATGTAAGAAATGCTAGTAATACAATGAAGGACCTATGATGCAGTTTAAATTTTCAATTGTGGTTTATCCTCTTGGGTTTATCAAACCGACTAACTGTGTCAAGGTTGCTTAGGCTAAAATCAGCAGGAACACATGAGTAAAAAAATGTTTAAAAATGGGCAATGTTTAAAAATATTTTCACACACAGCCATAAAAAAATCTCATCCACCGTTCAGACAGTTCACTCTATGGTAGAAGTGTTGATTTTAAACATTAAAATCAGTCTCCTGTAGCATCATATGTAACACGACTGAATCGGTCACTTTCTAAAGAGTTTCAACTTTGACTTTGACATTGTAAGAAGTTTATAAGTACAATTTCATATATTTTGCATTTCATCTGACTGTTTCCCTCCCTTGCAGGGTCTGATGTTCGGCTACGCCACAGATGAAACGGAGGAGTGCATGCCTCTCACCATCGTCCTGGCTCATAAGCTAAACGCAAAGATGGCGGAACTGAGACGCAATGGCACAGTGCCCTGGCTGCGCCCCGACTCTAAAACACAGGTCGGATTGCCTGCTGAATTACTGAAAAGTTCCTAAGTTCACTCTTGGAAAAAACACTTTACCAACCTTTCTCTTAGATTATTTCTTTTCTCGTCTCCGAAGATTAAATGGGCATGTTCTCTCATCTTTCATATCCTTCTGAAATATGAATAAATGAGTAACTAATTGCTTTAAAAAATTTACTTTGTGAATATAGCGAGGCAATTTCTTCAAATCGCAAAAAGGAAAAGAGAAAACGAGTATTTCATTGTATGATGTAATGCCTTAAGGCAGCATTGTTTTAAAACAATCCCAGTTCCACATTGAAAAGTCCTGATAAAACTGTGAAACACATCAGAAAACACACTTCTGCTTCATTTGCATCTAAAAAAAAAAAAAAAACATGACCAAAGACTCCACAAGTGGAGAATTTGACACATAAGCAACATTCAAATCTCATGTTTATACACTTATTTTTGGGATTTTGTGTTTGTCTCATAGGTGACGGTACATTATGATCAGAAGGATGGAGCTGTGGTGCCTAAAAGAGTCCACACCATCGTTATTTCTGTCCAGCACGACGACGGCATCTCTCTGGAGGAGCAGCAGAGGGTCCTGAAGGAGAAGGTACTCACCCTTATAGACAAACATGTCCAGCAGATTCATTCATAAGTACTAATTCACTGGTGAAATGTCTCCCATCAGGTGATAAAGGCCGTGGTTCCGGCTAAATATCTGGACGACAAAACCGTGTACCACCTCCAGCCAAGTGGCCGCTTCGTCATCGGAGGACCGCAGGTTGGAGCAAGAGACAAAGAGATGTAAACAAAATGAACTGCTAGATTTCTTTTGTTCACGCTCCACTTTTGTTGACCACTAGGGAGATGCTGGTGTTACAGGCAGAAAGATTATTGTAGACACATATGGAGGCTGGGGAGCTCACGGCGGCGGGGCCTTCTCCGGCAAGGATTTCTCAAAAGTGGACCGCTCAGCTGCTTACGCCGCTCGCTGGGTGGCAAAGTCTTTGGTCAAAGCAAAACTGTGCAGGAGAGTTCTGGTTCAGGTGAGCGTAAAGTACCAAGTCCAGCCTCTGCACATCACTGACAGCTTTGCTGATGAAAATGTGATTTTAATCCACATGTGTTTTTCAGGTGTCTTATGCTATTGGAGTGGCCCATCCTCTGTCCATCTCGTTGTTCACGTACAACTCCTCTCAGAAATCAGAGTCAGAACTTCTCAAGATCGTCAACAAGAACTTTGACTTGCGCCCCGGAGTTATAGTCAGGTAGTCGTCACGCAGCTTTTTATGCCTCACGGTGTTTATGGAAACTTTTTAAAGTTTTCATGTGAACGTAAGATAAAACAGTCATCTTCAGGTCAGATCTCAAATAAAAAACTGAAATCGGCATCTCTAATTATTCTCTCTTTTTTGAGTCCAAAACCAATCAATAAAAAGTAATTCAGTAACAAAATTAGATATAAAATAGTAATCTGCAAGAAAAAATTCAATTAAATGAGACCTAGTAAGAAGTTTTTGACTGTTTAAGATGTGGCTGTTCTCTCATGACACCACTGCGTGGCGCCAGCTGTCATCTTTTGGCTTAAGATGAATATTTTCCACATATCAGTGGTCTGCATTCGGTTCCAGACCCACATGCGGCTCTTTAGACTTTCCACAGTGGCTCCTAATAAAACATTGTGAAAAAATGTTACACCGAACAGGAAAGATTTGTGGTACTTTTATATGTTTTATGCAATGTCCGCATGTGTCTGTTTACTTTCCGAACAGGGTTGCTATGCTGTCTTTATTAAAAAAGAAAGAAATACAGAAAAAATAAGAGCATCTATTCATGTGTCTAGAATTAATTTCCTTCCAATAAAACATGTGAAATTCTTGCTACAGACAGATTACTCTTAGGATGTTTATTTCCACTTTGTACATGGTTGCCATGATGTCAGCTATTTCTTCCTGCTGTGTCTCGCTGTTTTCCATAAATACAAGTTGCTCTTATTCTCGTCCACCTCAATCAGTGTTATCATTTTAATGTTAAGTTCATTCAAATATCTGCTACTGTGTCTGAACTATGTTCAATTAATGCTAAGACTGCTAGCAACAAAAGAAAGCTTACATATTGAAAACTTCAAATGTCAACTGCGTTTGGTTTGCATATGAGATATGCACATTTCTTGACGATTCAGGTTTACATGCTTGGTTGTGGGTTCAGGTTTTTTGCCATTTAACAAAAAATATTTTAGGTGGAAATTGGAATTTTGTTGCGTTAGGCTGTGTTATCTTGCCTCCACAAGTTTGAGACCTCTCTGTTATTCATCTCAACCAATACTGCATTTTTTCTGTGTTGTGTTCAGGGATCTGCAGCTGAAGAGGCCGATATACCAGCAGACGGCCTCATACGGCCATTTTGGACGACCAGAGTTTTCTTGGGAGGTGCCTAAGGAGCTTGTTTATTAAAAACTTCTTGCCCGGATCGTCCACCTTGAAGAGCGATCGAGATGCTTCCGTATTGGACTGTAATGTCCGACTCACTCAGATGCGTAATTAACTCAGTCAGACCAAAGAGTCCGTTTCCAGCGAAACTGAAGTTCCTTTTCACTTCCTTTGAACAGAACTGAAATTACTAGAAGTATAACTTTCAGCTTTTTATTGTGCATTAGTTGATCTTAACTTCCTAAGGTCTGTACTAAATCCAAATTTAGAAAAAATATGTTCAAGTTGCTTAAGGGTCTGAAGTGGCAGAAGATTCTTTCATGAGAAGAGTTTTAATGTATTGGCGGTCCAAAGCAAATTATCAAACCAGCTTCACAACAACAACAATAAAAAAAGATTACTACTTCCATACAACAAGCTGAGGAACATTGTTTTTAGAGGGCAGTATAGTGTAACCTCTACTTTTAATCATAGCCAGGTGCTTCTGACAAGTCAGAAAATGCAAACAGTTTTCATTGCATTAACTCAGCGGAGAAAGATTAAAAATAACATTGCATCTTATATTTTCTTGACTTTTTTATGTACATGTCCATAGCTGACTAAACCTTGCGGAAACATACAGTTAGGGCCAGAAATATTTGGACAGTGACACAGGTTTTGTTATTTTAGCTGTTGACAAAAATATGTTCAGAAATACAATTTATATATAATATGGGCTGAAAGTGCACACTCCCAGCTGCAATATGAGAGTTTCCACATCCAAATCGGAGAAAGGATTTAGGAATCATAGCTCTGTAATGCATAGCCTCCTCTTTTTCAAGGGACCAAAAGTAATTGGACAATGGACTCTAAAGGCTGCAAGTAACTCAGAAGGCCTTTCCCTCGTTAACCTGTAATCAAGTAAGTAGTTAAAAGGTCTGGGGTTGTTTCCAGGTGTGTGGTTTTGCATTTGGAAGCTGTTGCTGTGACCAGACAACATGCGGTCAAGGAGCTCTCAATGGAGGTGAAGCAGAACATCCTGAGGCTGAAAAAAAGAAAAAATCCATCACAGAGATAGCAGACATGCTTGGAGTAGCAAAATCAACAGTCTGGTACATTCTGAGGAAAAAGGAATTGACTGGTGAGCTTGGGAACTCAAAAAGGCCTGGGCGTCCACGGAAGACAACGGTGGTGGATGATCGCCGCATACTTTTGGTGAAGAAGAACCAGTTCACAACATCAACTGAGGTCCAGAACACTCTCAGAGAAGTAGGTGTATCTGTCTCTAAATCAACAGTAAAGAGAAGACTCCATGAAAGCAATACAAAGGGTTCACATGTAGATGCAAACCATTCATCAATTCCAAAAATAGACAGGCCAGAGTTAAATTTGCCCAAAACACCTCAAGAAGCCAGCCCAGTTCTGGAAAAGTATTCTATGGACAGATGAGACAAAGATCAACCTGTACCAGAATGATGGGAAGAAAAAAGTTTGGAGAAGAAAGGGAACGGCACATGATCCAAGGCACACCACATCCTCTGTAAAACATGGTGGAGGCAACGTGATGGCATGGGCATGCATGGCTTTCAATGGCACTGGGTCACTTGTGTTTATTGATGACATAACAGCAGACAAGAGTAGCCGGATGAATTCTGAAGTGTACCGGGATATACTGTCAGCCCAGATTCAGCCAAATGCTGCAAAGTTGATCGGACGGCGCTTCACAGTACAGATGGATAATGACCCCAAGCATACAGCCAAAGCTACCCAGGAGTTCATGAGAGCAAAAAGGTGGAATATTCTGCAATGGCCAAGTCAATCACCAGATCTTAACGCAATTGAGCATGCATTTCACTTGCTCAAATCCAGACTTCAGACGGAAAGACCCACTAACAAGCAAGACCTGAAGGCTGCGGCTGTAAAGGCCTGGAAAGCATTAAGAAGGAGGAAACCCAGTGTTTGGTGATGTCCATGGGTTCCAGACTTAAGGCAGTGATTGCCTCCAAAGGATTCGCAACAAAATATTGAGAAAAAACTTTTTTGTTTGGGTTATGTTTATATGTCCAATTACTTTTGAGCTCCTAAAATGTGGAGTGTTTGTAAACAAATGTGTACAATTCCTACATTTTCTATCAGATATTTTTGTTCAACCCTTTAAATTAAACGTTACAATCTGCACTTGAATTCTGTTGTAGAGGTTTCATTTCAAATCCAATGCGGTGGCATGCAGAGCCCAACTCACGAAAATTGTGTTACTGTCCAAATATTTCTGGCCCTAACTGTAAACATTGTTTCTGTGTCAACAAAATCCACTAGATGGCATCATCTGTACCTTTGTTTTTCATTTAGTGTCGTTCAATTTAGGAAATTGTCTAACAACTGAACCTTGCTTTGCTTTGGGACTTTGTGACACGCAAAACTGAAGCTAAATCGTTTAGTGGACCATCAATATCTTCTGTGCTGCAGATGTAAAATGCCCTTCATTAATACAGACTTCTCTACTTGGTTTTCTGAATGTGAATTTGCTGCATTGTGAAATCTCTTTGCTGTCGAGCTCACTGAAACTCTCCGTCATGGCATTACATCTCCTGATTTAGAGAAAAATAAGGAGGGTTACTGGAAGATTTTCTAAAGGGCATTCAGACATTTTAATTTTGAGCTTTCTTTGTTTGTTCCATCCCTTTGAAGAGGCTGTGGAGGTACTAAGTGCGAGTGTGTTCATCTGCAGCCAACAATGTGTATATAATAGAGGTTTTCCTCTATTTTGAGGTGTCAGTCATCTGTGGCATCCTCTGCCAGCTTCATAGGCAGAGAAAATGGACAATGTAAATAATAAACCAATAAAAGGAGAACAAATGTGAACAACTGTCTGCAGCAATTTTATTTTGTAGAGGATGATGGGGAAAATTTTATTTTTCTAAGTAATACTACTATAACGGTTCACTTCATGCTTTTCTGTTTTTGAGTAGTTCAGAGTTTCTGTTCCCCTGAGATAAATATGTAACATAGAACTGGTTTTTTAGCCACTTATAAAAAAAAAGGGAAACGCAAGAAAATTTGATATGCAAGTAAGTGTTGTTCTTTATAAGCCAGAAAAGAGCTAATAGAGTCATGAGGTCTCCATAGTAATTCCCCTTGAGTCACTTGCTGCATATCTTGATTTTTTTTTATCGTTTTTCCTAAATGAACTAAACAAGTTAGGATTTTTCAAAAAGATTCTGTCTGCTATGCTTCTTCCAATGAAAGTATAATTTATTTTAAGATATTCTTAAAATACACTGGTGCAAATAAACATGTCTGTCACTGTAGATGGTGGAATTATGTGTGTTTGTTTTTTAGTGTAATTTAATAGAATATGTTCATGATCTAAGGGCTTTGGTTGTTTCAACAACTATATATTCACACAGAGAAGAAAACAAATTAACTTCACTGATCAAAATATTTGTCCACCCTGTTTTGCAGCATTGCAGTTAAAGATTGATCTTAACCCACATATTCACACTTTGGACTTTTAAAAGTTTTTATTTATTAAGCATTACAACAATCTTGCCACTTTGCATCAAAAATAGAATTTACAGCCTACAACTCTTTGGTTACTGATATGATACATAAGGCACATGTTGCACTTTTTTTGCCTTTAAGCAAACAGGGTACCGAATACTTGATTCTAAAGTGGCTTACAGAAGCCGATTAGCTTGTCAAGATGCTGTCAGCAGCGACCTACTGATTGTAATATTCACCACACTTTCTTAAGCATCTTGCGCCGTTACAAAAGCTACAATTAAAGCTACATATTTTTTTACATGACAGTCTTGATTTACAAAAGAAATCTATGATATCATAGCTAATGTGAACTGAAAACGCAGCACCTATACTACACGTCATGACATAAAACAGAAGGTAGAAGCAAGCAGGTTTCATTCTGCTTCGACATAAACATTGTAGCTGGTGTCTGAAGAGTTTCCTGAGTGCAAAGATCCAACAGATCTATAAACAAGACGACAGAGTAGATATGGTGACATGAGGATGAGATGTCACCGGGAAGTGATTTACTACTAGTGTTCTGAGATGCACAAAGCAACAAATAAGTATTTTTAACCACTTGCATTCCATTAGCAATATACTTATGCTAAAAGGAGATAATACTTGGAGGATTTGACAAACTAAATTCAGGTAGAACACACTCAGGAAGGAGAGCTTGTGGCTATTTAAAAATAAAATCAGTCGTTGCCATTCTTTGACGTGACATGATACAAGACTCCAGCATAAAATGATGCAATACTGTATTTGACCAGCAGAGAGCAGCAGGCGACCCATGCTCATTGATATGTTGCAGCTGCGGGGGCTTCTCCAGGTCTCGCCTTTTGAAAGTTTACATTCAGCCTGAAAGTTAATTACTGTTTGACAAATTTTCTTCCAAATTACTGGCACTAAGGCAACATGAGGCCACTTGTATTTTAAGGCAGTGTTGATGAGAGCCTACTTATGAAAGTATTAAAGAAGTGAGGCCTCTGCTTTCCCAGATTTTCACACTGATCCCCTTACAAACAAACAGTAACTTTGCTGTCTTCGGTTATCTAACTGCATTTTGCTGTGGTTATTTCTTGGCACTCACATGAACCCTCTTTCTGTCAATGAGTGATCTTCAGTCTTATTGCCTATGTAGATCAGATATTACAGCCAAGCAGGAGGCAGAAATGTAGGAAAACCCCTTTTGAATTGCAGCACCAATTACACACACTTATTTTTTTTATTTTTTGTAAAAATATTCTTTTAGATTAAAAAAAAATTATAAAACTTCACCCTTTTTCTCTTCAGCTCAGCAATCCCAGAAAGATGAGCCGAATTAGTTGTAACGTTCCGAGCTACAAAGACAAAACCAGCAGGTAAACTGAAAAACACATTCTTCTCGTCCTTAACAGGGAATAATAGGCTGCAGCCCTTTGTTAGAACCTGAAAACACGTGTTGCATCTCATCACTAAACCCAATAAACCAAACGCTCTGGCTTGAATTAGCTTATTTGCATCTGTTCACTAAATGTTCTTTTTTCTATTCTTCAGTAAACGGCAAAAAACAGAATTATTTGGGGTTGAATATTGATCTAGAGTACAGTTTTTTTTTTTCTTTTTTAAAAACGTAAAAAAAATTAGATTGGCTTAAAATTGATTCTTGAATGTAACAATATAAGGCACCAAATGTGTGTTTTCTATACAGAAGTAAATGTATTCTGTGCATGAGTACCAGTCAGACTTTTAAAAAATAGTTTTAGAAACACAGAGGAGCAGCTGCATAAGAGGTTGGAGCACCAACATGGCATCCCACACAGAAAATATTCAAAGTGTATTGAAACTTGGTCAAAGAAAAAAACTCAGAAAGAAAATATATTCTGGGTTTTTAAGCTTTGCAATCCACTTATCTTTGGCTTGAATACAAAAAGGCATTTGGGTATGGAGAAGAAATATTGGTTAAATAAGGTAAAATCCTTGTAGAACACCATGATAAAGGATACTAAGAGTGCTGGTTTGTTCTTTCTCCAGGGTTGAGTGAAACATTTCTGTACTTTATCGGTAACATCCACATATTGTCTCTCGGTCTCACCGCTGTAATACTGTCAGCTGGGCTGTCCAGCAGCCTCTCCTTCTCTGCATCCAAAAAAAGCATCACGGTGGGGATGAAATGGTCCAAAGCATCAACGTGAAACAGTTTACAGCTGGGTTCTCCCTATCTGATTGACAAATAACTCTGCTTCTTCTGGTCGATAACAACCGGTCTGAGTGGGGGGAAAGCAGGCTGTCACACCTGATCAATGTGCAAAATGCAAATAAGTTCATTGGAGACACAAATCCTGATGCAGACAGAGTAGAAAGTAAGCAGCAGGTATTTACCCGCTCTGCCGTGTAACAGCAGCTGCACTGGCCTTTTCTTCTAAAGAATGAAATGATTGTGTCCCAAGATGCAGAATTTAACTAATCTGACCGTCGGAGTTTGACAGGAACAAAATAATAATTATAATAAAGAAGTGACAGCAAAGCTTCAGGAAGTGGCTACAGTCTGGACATGGTCTCAGGCTGGTGAGGATGAGACTGTCCTCCCATTCCGACCAGCGTGTCCAGCTTGAGTTCTCTCCCAGCAGGTCCCAGGGACCCTCCCCGCGCCAGCACTCCCATGGTGTCTCCCGACATGCCGGCGAACTCAAAGGCGAAAGTCCCATAAAACAGCATAATGATGACGCAGAACACCCACTCGAAGATGGCTGAGGCGTGCTGCAGGACGAAGCTCTCCTGGCAGAAAAACACGCCGCCTGAACAATGTGGTTAAGGAAGAATCAAGATGTACAGAACAGAAAGCTTGAAGCTATCAACCAACTTCATTCAGAATGGAATAAATCCACCGTTAGGTGTCATTAATCTCATTTTTAAGAGTTGCTCTCTACAAGTTTTGCACATTTAGATCCATTGTAAATGGCTACTGTTCAGGCAGGATGAAAAGTGACTGCTGTGAAAAGAAATCTTTCAATATTGCCCAAAATTATCAACTGGATTTAGGTCTGGACTTTGATTAGGCCAGTCTAATACATGAATACACTTATCTAAACCACTCCATTACCCTGACTCTGTTATGAGGACTGTTGTCCTCCAATTTCAATTCTTTTGCCATCATCAGGAGATTTTCATCCAGGACAACCTTGTATTTACCACCATCCATCATCTTATCGATTCTGACAAGAAAAAACACACCCATAGTATGATGCTGCCACCACCATGTTCACATATCATTACTCTGAAGAACCTGTGGGGCGCCAACAAGTCATGGCTTAAAAAGATACTGAGCACCAAGCCCACGAAGGCCAGCAGGGTCATGCAGAGACGCAGGTGGGCCACGTAGTACTCCCCCTGGGTCTTGGCCAGTCGGTAGGTCAGCGCCGACTGCAGGCACACGAACAGCATGCTGGTGGGGAAGGCGATGCCTGCTCCGACATAGTGGAGAACTTTGGCATTATCCACCTGATGAGAGAGGATAGAGGAGAAGAAAGAAAGGCTTTATTAAAGAAGTCTTAGTGTAAAGATAAGCAGCTCATGGAATAAAGTGGGAGAGACGAATAAAACATGCAGGAGATGCCAGCGTTGAGCTGGTCACAAGAGTCATAGTGCACAATACACAAAAGGAGCATGTGACCACATCTCCCACCATTGGGCACAACATATATAGCTACATAAATCATAGATATTTTGATCAAAGCAGAGTCAATGAAGCCTTATTGAAATTATAAAAGCCGCTAATTCAGACAGATTAAGAAGAGTTGCTTTTCCTGGTCCATGCTCAGAAAGTAAAGGAGATCTGGAGATACAGTAATTCCAGTGGTTCATCAGAGCAATAGCCTAGACGTAATGCACTTGTTTCAAAGCCATTGACCTGGCTGGTGCATGCTGAACATTCCTGTGAAAAATTACAAATCTGCAAAGTCACAAAGTTATTTTTTCAGATGAAACCACATCAAATATAAATCTGAGACACACATTCTTTCACATATTTGCCTAAAAAGAGCTAATTACACAATTAGATTAGGGAGTTTAGTCAGAGGACTTGCTAAAGAATTCACTAATTGAAAATCAATATGTTCTTTAAAAGAACTGCATCTATATACTCTGTACAGTCGGGCTCTGTAGGCGAAAGATCTGTTGGGCTACATATTCTCTCATAATAAAATTTCACAGACATCCAAACAAAACAGCTCTATGCTTTTAATGACTGCGCTGTTTTTACTTAATTATGCAAGTAGATATTAGGCAAAAGCTGAGCTAACCAAGTCTGGTAATCCAGTAAAGAAGTGGACTGTAGAGAACAATGTATAGTTTGAAATGTTCATAAACTAATCGGTGCTCTAACATGGATGAGAAACACAGCGTACACTGTAACCTACTTCATTTCATTACATATACACCAATATGTATTTTTCCAACATATTTTTCATATTTCATATTTCTTTAGCAGCTGGTTAAATCTCCTGTGGGATGTTTTGCCATCACATAAAATATGACTCGATGTCTAAATAAGATCAGTTTGACAAATAGGTTCCTGCAGGCTGACACTGACCGACCGGCAATGGGAGTCTGACTGACTGCATTTTGTGAAGCAGCGATGGGGCGTCTGAAGGTAAACATGTGGGAACAAGCCCGACAGATCATCATTTGTGAGCTTTGGATTCCTTTTGTGTGAACAGAGTACCATTTCTTCTCTATTCCAAAAAGCTAAATATGTCTGAAGAAATAGTAATCAGGAGGTACCACCCAGCAGTCTGGTTTCTTATCTTACAACTTTCATAAAGACAAAGTGTTTCTCCGTCACCGACAAAGTTATGTTTCTTTTTCTGAACAATTAGAGCTGCCGACAGGAAAAGCCCCTGTGACCACGTCACAGATGTGCTGCCAGCATCTTATGTAACAAACGTGCATCACCCAAAGCAGCGTACATTAGCACGTGCTTCGTCTCTGATACTTTTCACTTTGCTTTGACTCCTCCCATTATTCCAACTCATCTGTTTTCACCTGAATGATCCTGAGTCCATCAATACATTTTAGATTTGGGTATATGTTGCAACAAAACCCCCATCAAAGACACGACTTAATCATATTCAGAGCCATGATTGGTTTGAATAAAAGAAAATCTAACAGCATCATGGCTCCGATTCACTAAAGAGGAGCCTCTGCTCCCCACGCCCTCTCTGCCCAACTACTCTGCATCTGGCCCTGCTTGATGATTCATTTCCCCCTGGCTCTTCCCGTAAATTCCTCCCGTTTCTGCAGCACTGAGAGTTCGCAGGCAAAGCGGGAAGAGGGCGAGGGCAAACTTTTTTCTTTTTTTTTTAAGTGCACACAAATTGCCACATCTGCAAATCTGTTGCATTGATACAAAACAATTACTGCTCTGTCAAAGACTTGTTCAAACTTCTTTCTTGTTTCTATGACTTCATACAAACAGAATTAGAATTAGAATTATCTCAAATTAATAAATATATATATAGTTTTTGTGATAGACTGGCACTCAAGTAGTGGATCACTGACCCGTAGAAAGAAAAAATACATGGTTTTCAATTTTAAAAAATTAAATACGAATGTATATTCAGAGTTAATAATATCTCGGAGAGACGTATTTCAGTGTAATTCCAGACCCATGTGAGCATTTCCCAGATTTGAATACCTCCACACTGAAATATTAATTCACTTTCCTTTGGAAAAATGCCCAAACTGGAGAATGTTTGAGCTAAAAGTTTGAAGTCCGATATCTAATTAGATTTAGGTCTGAACCCTTTTAAGGACCATTCATTGATCTAAACTAGAGATGCACAATATTAAGAAAACATTTAATTGAATTACTATTGCTGAATCCTGTGACAGCAATTAACTCAAAATTTCCTGAAGCTTCTTTCTTTTCCTTTATCACAAAGTCCAAACCACTCTTGGCAAACTCTAGAATCTTGAACACTAAAATTGTACGTCAAGTGAGTCTTGTGAAAGTGCATCAAACTAAAGTATCATTGGCATTCAGAATTTGCAAAAATAGCACCAGAAATACAATATTAAGGTAATAATAGATGTCAGAAGTTTTTAGAGATCACAATATTGCACACATGCAATTACTGCTGTAATTTGATGTATCGTGTATCTAACATTAAACGATTCCATTAAAATATTTGTCCTGTAAATAGCTCCGACTTCTGTGTCTGTTACCAAAAATTAATCCCCACAGCATTGTGCTGCCATCAATGTGAGTAGCATGTCACTGCATTAGCACTTTCTCTATGTGTAGATGAGGAGCTGAGTAACACTCTGTCAGATGTTCACAGTTTGGGATGTTGTTTTCTGACTGAACCTTGATTTACACCGTTCTCCCAGACCTGTTCGCTGTGACCCTTGCTCTTTATGATGCTTTTTGTTCATTAATGTTCTCTAATAAAACAAAAGACCTTCAAGAACAGCTGGATGTATATTGACTTTGAATTATACAAACCAATTATTTACCACTCAATTTAATGCAGCTGGTTGCACTGGTTTATAGTTAGGGGCATCTGAGGAAAAGAACTGAATGCACACCTCGGTTTTCAGGTTAAATTACATGTATTGTTTTCACTTCAAAAGTATGCATTACTTTCTTTTGGTCTATCACATAGAAAGACAATAAAATTATTTTAAAAAAAGGTTATGGCGTAGTAAAAGCAACTTGGTTTGAATACTCTTCCATATAAAATCTAATGATGGTCATGAACTCAATTAAAGAATAATCACTAAGCCTGTTTAAAATATTCAAAACAGAAAATGTTAGACACATTTTGTTTTGGCACCAGTTTTACAAACTAAAGAGGCTTTTTCTCATCACATGAGTCACTTCTCCCTTCTTTCACTTATTCACAGGAACAGTCAGCTATTTCACAATCTTCCTAAAGCCGGAGGACAACACCAATATTGCAGCCAAACAAAACACAAAATAGGAGACCAAATGCTTTAACCTTAAACATCTCTCTCTTATAAAACACTAAGAATGCATCATTTATTGTTACTGTAAGTCTTTCCTGCCAGCAAAGATATTTTTCCCCTTTCTCAGGAAGAAAAACAACACCACCAAAGCATTAGGTAGACCAGACCTTCTGGAAAATTACTCTCAGCCAAACTGCTAGTTACACAACTCTCACCCTTTGAACTAAATCAAGTCATCACTTTGTGATGATTTGATAATTTGCATTAATGTGAACTGAACATCCCCAGAAATGGACTCAGTCTACCGAACTGTGTGTGAGCACATTTTATGTCCCCACAATGTGACCAATACAAGTCTGTAAACACACAGAGTCTAGGCTTCTAGCCAAGACTCCAAATATTTAAACATCAAGAAATTCTTTCCCAGAGAGCAGATATCTACATAGAAGGAAATCAGGTTCGCTTCCTTTACTTGTGACTTCGACCAAGGCCAACTAAGTGGTCCACACAGCTTTTAACATTTAGTTTGAATGCTGGGTTATATTTGCAACAGATGAGCTCGGGCTTTTATGTACACTCATCACTGCAATGAAGGTCTTTCATCTCAGGCTTTAAATGACGTCTTTAAACTACTCTTCTCAAGTTGTGTTGAAATTGTTGAACACGATTTCAGTGACTTTGAAAAAGCAGAAGTAGCTTCACATGTTTCAATTAAATTGGAATTTCTCCAAGATTATATGTGGAAATTACATGTATAGGCTAAAATATGTACATACAGTGACCTAAACATTTCCCCCAAGTGGTGCTGGAGGCCCGAGGTCCTTTTAGCATAACGAGTGAGAGATCATGGTATGTTTGTCTTTGCAGCACAATCAGAAACTAAATTTAAAAAAAAAACTCAGTGAAGATCTAAGGACAACTGGAGGTTTTCAGAAGTTGGTCAAATCTAGTGAAACAGCAGATTATAATGTAGACAATTCAAACGCTTGAAGGCAAATATACTCCATTCTTTGTCAAGCTTTGTCATTGATTGGTTTTGTTGGTTGAACTTTAATAAAGTTTGTGAGAAGGTTCAAACTGTAACCCTCAGATGAAACATTATGAATATGACCTAACAAGCCTGGAACCATCATGGCTCAAAAATGTCTTTACTTGGAAACTGCGGGAACACCAGAGTTAATGTCCACAATGAGTTTTATATTACCACAAAATTAGAGGATACTGACCAAGAAAAAAGCACCTGCTTCAAAACTGATATCTGAGAGTAAAAATTTTAAAGTAAAATGCTTATGAGACATGTTGCATGGTTAGATCAGACAGTGATTAAGCTGCCTGTCCACAATAATGAAGTATTTGAAAATCTCACCTCGACTTGTTCAAAATTAAGAACGCTGTCGTTGTAAAATACAGAGTCCCTGTAAGGCGCAGCAGCTGCATCATGCTCTGGTGTGGGTTTTTTTTTTTTGCTAGTACTGGCATACTGCAGAAGATGGCTAGACCAATGACAAAGCATTGCCTCCAATTTATTTAACTTTACCTCAAATAGGACAATGATCAGAAACGGATGTCGAAACATGAGCACAATGGACTTCCAAAGGCCCAATATTTCAACTATAGCAGAACTATGTGGACTATGCTCAAATGCTTGGTCTGTTCCAGGAACACAATCAAAGTTAATTGATTTTCCCAAGAATCGTGATCAAATATCCACAATTATGCCAGAAGACAGGGGTGTGAGGCAAAGTTCAGTCACAGAGATAACATAACGCCACTTTGATAACAAGTCAAGACATTAGTTTACCAGACCACAAATTTTGTTTCAAAGTTTCTGCTCATTATAACAGAAATTCAGCTCAAGCTTCAAACAATTATAAGCAATCAAAAACCTTAAAAAAAAAACATCTTATTTTTTAACAATTGAATCAGGTAAAGAAGAGGCCAACTCGAGGATCATCACTTTTTTATGGTGTCTTGTCTATCAGAATATAAATTTAATTGATTCTATGGTTACCAAAAATGTGTAAAAGAAGAAGGAACTTCTGCAGAGCTAATAAATATCATATTTTGCAACAAACATAATTTATTAAAAGCTTAAAATTAAAATTACATTCATTCCAAAAAATAAAGAGTGTATGATTTCTTCTGACAGCAGTTGTTAGTGTACTAAGCTGGAAGTTTTTTTTTCTTCTTCTTTCTTACGGTCACAAAGAAACCTTGTCATATAATGTGTCTCTTATAAAGTTTTTTGTTTCCTACCTGGAAATTTCCCACCATCATGAGTCCAGCAGCACAGATCCAGCCTGTGGACAGACTCGCTGTGTTGAGAACACAGTTTTGATGCTTCTCAATAACATGGGCGTAGCGAAGCAGCACAATCACCACCACTAAGAAAAGAAAGACAAATAAACCCAGATCAATAGGCTACAGTCATTGTGTCAAGTAAGGTTGAAGGCTTCGTAAGTAAAAATTGTATTTTTTTATTTTGGCAGAGCACAACATACAGTGACTGGATGTAATTTAATGGAAACCTGGACTCACACATTTCTCAGCCAAAAAACACATTAAGTTCTTGAAAGGCCATTTATTTGCCCATAGAGGCCACTCAGAAATAAGAAAAAAAAAAAGAATCTGGAATAGAAAATGGCGGGAAAATGTGCAAGACACACTAGTGGGGGGTGGATGCAAGTCCCTCTGTGGATTATAGGGGAAGTGAAACAAAGAAAAAAAAAATACAGTATTTAGGACAGTTGAGAGACGATGTGCTAATCGGTTCTAACTGCGCTCACTGTTGTTCTGACCCCTGCCTGATTCGTCTTTATCCAGTCTTCACTGCTGGTGCTTGATGAAAGCTGACTGCTCACGGTAAAAGCGGGACATTGGAGATGAGTGGACAGAACGAAGCTGAAGGAACAGAAAGAGACAAAGAGGTCCTCATGTCCTGACATTAATCTGATACAACTGTTCCAGACTAAACTGCTGTGATAACTCTGCCACCATCTCTGTGCAAATTCACAAGCGTGTAAAAGGAAAGCATAATAAAGTAAAAAGCTTTGTCATTGTTTGGTTTTGTTGCAGCTTTGGTGACTGTGAGTCAGCATTTCAATGACTGGACATATTTAAAAATCTGTCCACCAGCTTCATTAGTAATATACTTACATAATTATTTTATGATAATCATTACCTATTTGCGCAAATCTACGTAAATGTTGATAATTATTCAAAATAGAGTCTAAATAGTTTGTCATTTCTTCATGATAAATTGTTGCAACTAAAAGACATTTGGTATGACTTCAGTGATGCAAATAGAGTTTAACTAGAAATATAATAGTCTACAGAAACCAGGTTGAGCCATTTGAGAAAATAAAATGCCAAATAAAAATCTTGTGCTTCTCTTTATAAAACTTGCCTGCAGAAGATGCTTTTAGATCAAGACTTGTGTGCAGAAATTCAGAAATTTTGCAAATATATTTACAAACTTCATTTTTCTGTACTTTTGTGATACTGCAGCTCATCTGCCTTCCCTTTCAATGATATATGGCTTCACATAAGAAAAAAAATGCTCTTGTATTTCTCCACTAAAGATCTGATATTGTTGCACAAAGTTTACCACATTTTTTGGAATATATGGTCACTGCTACCAAGCTTACATAAATGCTAAGCTAATGTTGCCGCAATGCCTCTATCATAACTTTTAAGAATTTAATGCAGACTCTCTGTCTGCACTAATGAAGATTCACTCACATTGGCATGCTAAATGTTTAAAGTAGCACCCTGACTGTGTGTAGAATATTAAACTTTAAGTCCACAATAGTCAAATTATTGTTGAATATGAGAAACGAAAAAAGAAGTCCCCATGCAGCATCAGAATTAATTTTATCTTTCATCCAAAACACATACAAAATCACAAATGTGAAGTGATTTCAGGACAAATCATGAAAAACAAATAGCAGGCTTGAAATAATCATGTCGTTATTCCTTTTCAGTTTCTTTCAAAATGGAGAACATACTGAAAAGTCAGCTTACTGAGTTGCAGCTTATTTCATCCATCTCCATGCACAAGGCTGCCTGCATTTTATAAATATATAAGAGATGAACAAGAGATGATTGTGTTTAAACTTGTTGGGGACCATAAAAGCTTAGCCTCGTGGTTAAGAATAGGACGAATTAAGATGTACCTCAAATGCATCAGTCTTCCTTTCTTATCTTTTAGTTTCTGTGAGATATTTACTGTTGTCTCTCTTTAAAAGTGACAGGCAGACGCAGAGGTTTAGTTAGTTTGTCCAGAATTGGGTTTTGATGAGCAAGCAGCATAGTTGACCTTCACCTTGCCTCAGAGGGTCAAGACAGCTTCTTCCTGACAGCTCAACAATGGGAATAATTTCAGATAAACATGACATCCCACAACCTCTAATACTGTGCAACCTCACAGCACCTTTTCAGTTCTCACTCTGCTCTCTGAAGTCAGGAAACTCAGGAAGGAAGTCTACTGCTGTTGAAAACACTGTTTACACACCAAACTTACTTGACCATGTAAAGTCCTGTTGCAACATGTGGGAGTAAAATAATGTATACAATGCTACAGCAGTTAGAAAAGTCTGCAGAACCTATGTACACGTAAGTGTTGGTTTCAGCAAAAATTGCAGTCAAACAAGCCCTCCTTGTCCCCATATAGGGATGATATTTCAGCTCAAGCCTTTTGCATTTTCTACCACAGGAGGTATGGCAGAGAAATAAAGCATGCATTGTATTTTTTTTAAAAAGTCATGTGTGTACACTGTAAAGAAAAGGAGAAGAATAGTTCTGAGGCAATATACGGTTCACAGAGTCCGTGTGATCCTGACCCTGAGCCAATCGCAGCTGGCACAGTTGTCCAAGTAAATACATAAATCAATAGGCTAACAAGTTAAGCACTGATTATTTACAATAGGCTGCTGTGGAGCTGCATACCTCAATAACTTAGCCTATTTCTACACAGACATAATGAGTTACTTTTGTATTAACATAAGTCTATGTAAAGACTAAGCCAGTAGATTATGTAACCAACATAATCTGGAGGTGGAGGCATCTAATTCAGAAACAGGTACTAGTAGGGAGGTAAGTGGAGTAACAATTCATTACCATGTAATTTTTAGTGTGGAAGTACAGTATTTTGATAAGGCTGCAGATCACATCTTGGAAAGAAGTTTAAATATGCTAGAAACCTATAACATTTGCACATGTTGTGCTCTACCACACTAAAATGTTTCACTAGTTTGAAACAATCTACATATCAATAATTTTTCTAATTAAGACAAAAATATTGTTGATTTTGTGAAAAATATTCACAAAATCAAGCATCTGTTAGAGTTTGCCAGAAAAAAGCAAAAACCCCAAAAAAATCTTCAATTCAAAATAGTTCAAACATTAAGAAATTTAAAAGGATGAGGTTTGGGAACCATATTTGAACTACAGTCATGGCCTTAATGCTGTTGTTCTTCATCTTCTTCACTTATTCTGCCTTGTTTTGTGTGGCACATTGTGCCCGCTGTAAAGCTCTAAAATTCAAATAAATAAATAAAAATTGATGAAGACCTGACATGCAAGTCCTAACTGTGGGAGTAAAAGGTAACATGCACAGAAAGCAGGAATATGTGGACTCTAAAGAAAGATCCTGACCAGTCAGCTGCTTTGAACCAGTGTCCTGTATTGGCTGATCATTTGTCCAATTTATTGTTTAGTGTATTTCTGAAAAACATCCAACATAAATTTAGCATTACTACTCGTTATGAATCCTCATGTGATCTGATCAACAGTGCAATTCTAATTACATTTCATATGTATGTTGATTAGACACGTTCACTGGACATAGGCACCAGCACAGCAAGGGTGTACAGAAAATGGATGGATGGATGTTGATTAGACAAATAAATGCTTTATCAATGAAAGTGCTTCTTCATTTTCTGATATTTACTAAAGAGCTTCACTGAACTTCACTAGAATGATGATTAAAAAAATAAAAGCTATTATGAGATAATTTCCTCATAACCTTGTTTTATATCATTGTAATGATTCATATAACTGACATGTGAACTTTAATTACATGCTAGTAAATATGGGCCCTACAAGTTTTATAGAAAAGTATAAGGCTGTGATATCGGCTAGAAAGGGTTTTTTTTTTAATCACCTTCAAGTTGTCCTTCATGTCATCCATTTTTCCATCAGACGATAGTACCAACAGTTTAGAGCACAGTAAAATAGCTTTACCCCTCTCCCACCTGCTACTGCAGAATATTCAATGATAGAAGGCTTCAAACAAAAAGAGCAAATTCAGCTGATTGAAAATATTTCCAGACTCCAAGAAGTTTTAGAGCTGCAGCTGTTAAGCTCCGACCCGAACGTCTGCTAAGAAGCAGGCTAGCTGTTGAACTCAAGACATCTTGAGACATCTTGAGTTCAACATGTAACAAAATCATTTTTATAAATGTCAGAAAACATGTACTTACTTATTCAAGATAATTTTAAGAAACACCATAAAACTGTTTCTAATTCTTGTTTTCATTTATACATATCCATTTATATATAACTGCCAAAATCTTTCTTTTATTAAAGTTGGATAAAGCAAACAATAACAAGGATCTGTGTTCACACAAAGAGCATGACTTGGGTTTTTAAATTAGATTTTTTTTATTACCGTTACTGAGCTTTGATACTGAGAAAAAGCACAATTTTTCTAAACTGCTTTTAGAGTACTTAACAGTTCATGTGAAACTTTTCGATTTGGTCCTTTTTCAAAAAAAGGGAAATTATAAAAGGAACTGATGAAGTTATCTTATCATAGTTTGCCATCACCTAAAGGTGGAAGCTTAGGAGACATTGAACTTGACTTCACAGTGTTTTGCTGACGCATTGTGGAAGAAATGATAGACATAGGTGGCAATCTTGACTTAAGCAAGATGGGAACCATCAGAGTTGAGAAACACCGAATGTGGAGCTCCTGTTTTTCTCATGTTGAATGATGAGTCAACATCTTTCAGTTATTAATGACCAAAGTTCAATTAGCCAGCACGCATTCAAGATCTCTATGTTATGCAGTGATGAGCACTGGCCCAATAAAATGAACAAACATGTTGGTCTTTCTCTGCTGCCTGTGCAGACTTCACACTAACATGCAACAGCCTGGTCCCTTCTGTCTGGCAAAGTGCTCATTTTATACAGTCTCTGTCTAAACAGACAAAGAAGCCTGCAACTACAATCTGCATCTAAATGAGAAAGGAGTAAACAGTTTTACTACAAACCAGAGACAACCAGTCAGAAATGAACGATGCCAGAGGCATGGGTACAGAAAAAAAGCTCTTTATACCAAGCTTTTTATACCAATGTGTGTGCAAACACACACTCACACACAGTCAGTCCACAGCTGGGAAACATTAACTAGATCAGGGGAGTCAGAACCACCAGCGAGCACCGGGCAACAGCACGTGTAGACTAACAGAAGACCTGCAGAGCAGCACATGGGAGCTCTGTCTCTTCTGTTATATCACGTCTGTTTTCCTTGTCCATCCTGGAACACACACTGTCCCTTCTGGATGTGGACAAGTGTATATTTCTCCATTACAAATACTCTGAAACTAAAACATGCTTTAATTTCTGCTTTGTTCAGATTCACAACGGTCGCTAGCTGTGTTTCTCCCCGTATTCTAGATAGACGTGCTGACAATGTCATTTTATGTGAGTCTCCATAATAATGTCATCATGAAGACCAAGAAACGTAGCAGACAAATTTGGAAAAAAGTGTTGAAGAACTTTAAAGCTGGGCCAGGGTATAAAACAACATGTTAAGCTATAAGCATTTTCCATAGCGTTGCTAAATTAGTAGTATGAAAATGTAAACATGCCAAAGCATGTTTTTGCAACAAAACCTCCCAAGACATTATCTTCCACCTAAACCTACAGGCAGAGGAAAAACAACTTTGGTGGTAGAAGCTATTTATTCACTCCAACAGTTTTCTGTTTGTGGTTAAGTTAACTATAGGTCATGCAAGGAACACAGCAAGATGGCAAGATGTTAAGAAGGTTTTGTAGAAGTTTTGGTTCTCATAGAAAACATCAATGGAGGTAAACTACAACAGCATTTTACACTAAAAACATCAATACGGTAAAATAAGGTGGTGGAAGAATCATGCATATCATGCATCAGGTCAAAGCATATTGGACTGGCCCAGTCAAAGTGCAGACTTGTCAAAACTTGTAAATGGATAGTAACAGACACAGTTCTTCCAACCTGACTGAGTTTTTGTTATTTTGCAAAGAAGAGAGGGAAAAACTCTTACATTGACATATTTTCACTTTATTGTATGTTCACTTGTATTCTCTTGCATTGACATATTTTCACATAGGAAAAAGTGAAAGCCATGTATGGTTTTCCTTTCAGTTCCCAAACACAAATTACTTGTTTGCTGTTGTTGTCATTTAAAATCTAAATAAGATACATTAAACTTGTGATTGTACCATGGAATCACAAGACAAAATGTGTAAAAGTTTGAGGAGTGTCAGTCCATAGCAAAGCAGTTGGTTTGGTGGTTCATGTTGTACAATAAGGAGGATGGAAGTGTGTGTTGTTAGTGCCCATATTCCTTACCCATGAAGGATCCGGTGCTGCAAATTAGGCTGAAAAAGCAGCTCTCTGGTGGAAGAGTCCCGCATTTACTGCAAGAAAAAGTGCATAAAATAATATACAGAAGTACTTTGAATCGGCATATCCACACTCTTCAGTAACAGTGTCACCATTTACACCATTCTGTGAAATAAAATATGCTGCTGAGCTGCGTTTGTGCTTGTTGACAGTCAGACTGAAGCTTGATCCCTCACATCCCGTAGTGAAGTGTTTAGCTTCTCACCCACTGCATACCTCGACTCTTTTCTAGGAATGGGAAATGTCTGAGCGATTGGGAAGTCAGGAGACACTCGGCTCTTGTCTGTTTCTGTAAACGTTCCTGCTGCATTAAGGCACTCACATGTTCTTCTGGAACGTACAATTTAGTATGATTACGGAGCAAAAAGTCTCCTTCCTAATCTTCAGCGCTAGTTTGAATTTTTTACATAAAAAATAGTTTGGTGAGTTCATACTGCCTACTTTGAGGCATTATATTTTAAATAAAGATTGTTTACCTGACTTCTGTAGCTAAATCTCCAGAGTCTAGGAGTTAAACAGTAACAGGAGTGACTTGATTTCCTCCCCAAAAAAAAGCAGGTTTTGCATGCATGCCTGTTTACATAGCTTAAGTGTTCCTCTGAAGTGCCACGGTGGCAGGCAGGATATTTCAGCCGTGAGTTATTTTCAGAACGCACACAGGACAACGGTCTCTCAATCGTTTTTCTTATAAACAGTGTGCAGACAGGAGCCGAGCGAGACAATGGGACCGTGTTCCTGTTTTTAATCAGCAGAACCAAAAGAGACATGGGAGCCACAGGGGTCCTGCTGCACATGGCGGGAGTCTCACTCACCTGATGAGAGGTACGTTATCTAATGTGCAGCAAAACGACGGGCCGCTCTGCAAATGCAGGTCCCCTTCACAGGACTGGTTGTACAACCTGCAACAGAAATCGTTCAACATTCATTAAAATCAATGCTCTTTGAATATCACTCATGTCAAGAATGGAACAATGATGAATGAAGCAATTTATTCCATGCGCATGTGGGTCCCAAATAGATCCGGCTCACACTCAATGGCCACCAAGTGGGCCTGGGTTCATAATAATGGGGCCCGCCTGTGTTGACTCCATTGAAGTCATGGTAAAACCAAGTGGGGCACCGTAAGGAGGGTCCCCAGAGGGTAGAAAGACAACTGGATCAAATTTCTTAAAACATCTTGGGCTCACATGGGTCACACTTCGTAACTTTTGTCGTTCTGCATCAAACTTATACAAGCAACTGGATCCTTTAACCCATGGACAGTTCTATATGAGGTCAAATTTTCAGCCCATTTCTAATTCCTGAGACCATCAAATATAAATAATGGCTGAAATGAGTGAATCAGTCAAATTTCAGCAGCAGAAATAATTGTCTTTTTTATTTGAATTAAAGCAAATGGATCAAAATATATACATTTAAAAAGTATCAAAAAGAATTAAAAATAAAAAAAAATAAAATATTTAGACACTGTTGATCCTCAAGGTTATCTTACAATGAAAATCCCATCTTCAAAAACAAGATACCTTTTTTCTCCTTTTTTTTAATCAGTATTAACCTCACAACAATACTTCCAAAAAATGGCTTGGTAGAGAGGTCATTTTGTAAGAACAAACAGTCCCTGAGTACTATTTGTTCCTACAAATAGTCTATGTCGTTCTTAGTAAACAAAAATAAAACATTCCTGTTTTATTTTTGTACCCACTGCTTACCACATACCCACTGGTAAGCAGTGGGTATGTAGGGACCAACAGAATTATAATGAAGCAAATCGCAGGACAGAAGAAGCAGCATACCAGTTATCCACAGGACAGACGTGCTGGTTGTAAAGGGCCATGGCATATCTGAAACAGACACAACGGGATTAACCAGAATGAGAGGAAGATCATTCATAATGTGATCAGTTGCACTGCCATCCAAAAATGTTCATTTCTAAGGGATTGAGTAAACAAAATGATGAAAAGACACAGAAAGAAATGATAATTGATGTTTTTAGCATTAACCCTGAAGGAAGTGACATGACATGGACAAACTAGGTAGTGTGTAGACATAACATCAGCTAAAGAACATCAAAGCTTGACCAAAAAAATACACTTTTACTTTCTTGGGGCCGGAAAACAACATTCTAAACATTTTATTGGCCATTTCTAAACCTAACATTTCTGATATTTGCATTTAAATTAGTTGCTTTTCCCTAATGCTGCTTTTTTTTTTTTTTTTTTTTTTTTTTTTTTTACATCAGTGCCTAAAAAGACACACAAGTTAGAATAAATTTCTGCTATTCTGACCTTACATCGACTTTCATCGGGTCAGCCTGTGAGATGAGGCAACCCAACTTTCAATAATCTCTTATCGTTATCCGGAACTAAAAAGTTCAAGGAGTGAAAATACTGGTTGATTTCAGGAAAACCGGAATGACTAACAGTTATTATCAATTCTATTGTTTGTTTTTGACAGGTCACTGACTAGCTTCATCCACTGAAGGTTCAATGACCACACGTTCAAAAATTAGTAGCTACATTTTAAACTAAATCACGATGATTACAGTGACTAAGTCAAAGCCTACGTTGCCTCTAGTGCAACCACTATAAAAAAGTTTTACTTTCTAAAATTTGTTTACAAGGCTTTACACATAAATTAATCAAGTGCACTCTGCAGTGGTCATTGATTGCTGATTTAAAGGAAGTTCATGACATGTTCATCGTAAAGCAAAACAATTTGAACTCTGGCATTACAACAATGAGCATACATTCACTGGCCGTTTTATGAGGCACACCCGCTCAACTGCTTGAGAAGTAAATCAAGATAATCTAATTTCAGGAATCCAATTCAATGAGGCATCTAAACAGGGTAAAGATGACATGCAGAATTTCAGTACCAGAATCAGAATGAGGTAGAAAGTGAAACATAAGTGACTTTTTAAAAGGAAGTGATTCATATTTACACAGAAAATATGATTCATATTTTCACAGAAAAAGAAAATAGCCAAAGGCCAGTATGATGATATGATTCACAACCAGATATGCAGTCAACAAATCTCATCATGTCAAATCCATCAATCTAGCTAGGTGCTAAAGAAGATCTGAACACAAATAGGACAAACCAATAGCAAGGTGTACCTAATAAAGTGGCCACTGGAGTGTAAAAGTCAAACTTACTCATATCACTATCAACAATTTGTTTTTTCTTTAGATAAAACCAATAACTGAAACTTTTTTTTAACTATATCTGATAATGCTTACTGAGCACCTATGAATATAACAATCCAGATCGTGTTCAAGACAGAAGTTAACGGCACCTTGTGATAAAGTTTTCTCTGAGGTTTTGTGTCAGACCACAGAATATTTTGCCAGCACAAAGACACGCACGCACGCACGCACGCACACACACACACACACACACACACAGCTGTTCTGTCTGTGCATGTTCCATCCTTATTAAACCGCAAATGATGAAAGATCTACACGTCTGCATAACAGATAACAAGCGGAATTACTTCATATCAAAAGGAGGGGTGGGAAAAGCATGAATCCTGAGATGATTACGTTCCCCTAAACCACGTGACTCAACTCCAGCTAGAACAACCATATCGATCTATATTCGATCAGTTAGTCTTTTTTCTACAATGGGCCTCCCAGTAGGGGAAATCTGACAAACGGGAAGGAAATGCAACTGTCACTTTGTCATATTACACATTCACGCACACCGACATGCAGGGTTAAAAACGGTGGGCTATTCTGAGATGGTGAACATCTGTCCTGATTTGTGAACGCAGATGTAGTTCAGCAAGAGTTTAAGCACCAATTAGGAATGTTTTCAGCGGTTAATAGTATCGTGTTCATGAAGCCGTTTTTAAAAAGGACAGAGACAGTATGTCGCAAACATGCACTCAATATAGGCCGAAATGGTCATGTGAAAAACATTCCTGGGTTAAAATAATTCTGCAGTCTAAAAGTCACAGTTTAAATTTGAGTTTGTTACCATCATCAGCCTCAATCTAGTACAAAATGTTTACAGCCAGTGGACTCACTTGCAACTTATATCCAAAACTGCATGCACACACTTCTCAAAAAAGGCAAATACTGACAGTGATTGTAGTATTTTTATAGTACTTTTATAGCATTTTTATTCAACACAAAAAAGGAGGAGTAGTACAAGAATTCAAATATTGTATTATTTTAGATGCACAAATGATGGCTCACTAATTTAATGCCGTGATTACACCCAATATATAATGTATAAGAAGCTGGTAAAAAGAAACAACAAAAAAAACTGTTTAAAACCAATTGAAACAGTTTAGAAACAGGCATCAAAAGTGACTAAAAGCTTAAATCACACTATTACTGTCAGATATACTAAAAACATTAACAATGAAGTTTGGAGAACATTGTAAAATATGTCTATTTTGTGGTTACGTGCCACTTCAACAATTTTTTTGAATAGAATCCCAGTAAAAGCAAGGAGGGCGAACTCTGCGGGACCGTCTACCATTCAGGAAACCCTCTGATGGTCACGCTACTTTCTCTTATTGTCCATTTCATGCTTGGAATACAGTTCTGAATAATATCCGACAGGAACTCCCACACTTCTTTCTGAAAACATCTTAAAAACTGGTTCCTGGAAAGCTAAAAATGTCAACAGGACTCTACTTAAACATGTATTATTAAGGTTTTGTCTTTTACACACTCAACTAAGTAGTATTGAACTTTACACTACATGATGTCATTCATGCATTCACAGACAGATCTATTCTTCCCATTTCCAGTCAACAAGTCTGTAGTTGCAACACAACAAAATGTGTTTATACTTTTGCACTTCACTACAAATTTGTAGTAGGATGTTGATGTCAGAAACAATTATTTCCTCCGTAAATAAAATTGGTGAATACCTGAAATGTCTTACAAATATTCAGAATCACATAGCTCTAGAAGCCAAAAGTCATTGAATATTTTTTTTCTTTAGAAAGAGATTATTCTTCAGCTTTGAAAGCTAAAATAGCATCTCTGCAACTCTAGAAGAAATCTAAATAGAGTATGTTTTAAGTGTTTGAAATAAACCAGAGCATTATGTGTTTGGAAGAGGCTAAGTAATAGTAGGTTTGTTTATATAATTAGCCCTCTATCAAAGCACAGCACAGCTGTATGCTGTAATTGCATGCCTGTGAGTAACATAAAAAAGTAGCTTTTTTTCCCCCTAAGTCAGGACAAAACTAGGAACATGAGCAAAACTTCTGTGGAAAATCTGGTTTGTACAGTGAAAATTCCCAATAGCGGTACAAAAATAACCCCAGGAAAAGGGTGTGAGGAATACACAACGGGTGTACTTACAGTGGGGCTAGCCAAGCTAGACATAACGAGACCCTTTTTAAAATGAAAGCAAACTATGTCCTGATAAACACCTCAAAGAAGCCTTTGGGTACAATGAAGTCATGCTGCCATTTTAAACTAACCCATAAAAAGTCAACAGAGGAAGCTTAGTCAATTGTCTCTGGTGGGTAAAAGCAGACACAGAAGTTTTATACTCTCTGCGTGGTGACCAGATGCTGAGAAAACTCTGCCCAGGCTCTATTAAACTATTTTCTAGAATTAACCTCACTTGTACAAAGAATCGGGGAGTTATGCAACATTTTACATCTTTCAACATTCCTTCTACATACTTTCTACTCTGGAAAAAGCCTGGAGACTTCTCTTAGAAACAAGGCATGCTTGTTGAGTTACTGGAAAGGTTTGGACAAACAATCCATGGCAGTGTTGGCAATGAAGTTTACCGAGTCAGTTTGCTGCCTGAAAAACAAAAGTCAAAGCTGCTGATTATTTCATGCATCTTTTTAAAGCTCTCTGTAGGCATCAGTATTTTTTTCAGATGCGCACTCCTGATTGGACAAGCTGCTGCTGCGTTAGCTAACGTAAACAACCGTGCATAGTTTCATCTTTGGGCTGCAATCAGGCTGCTCATCACTGATGCAACACAGAGCTTGGCTACAGGACAACAAAAACTCAGAGTTGCACCATCTGTCTCCTTCCTCCTCAAAATCAAATGACAGGCCCAAGAGAAGAGATGCCAGCCGTAGAATAATCGGGAGGCATGATCATTCTTTATGCCCTTTGGGTTCTTCTGCTAAAACACTGTACTGAAGATTAATAAGCTGTGTGGCAAAGCTTCATGTTGGACTTTATAAGAAAGGTGAAAATTCCAGAATCTTCGTGGAGAGACTTAATCCACGTGCCAATTGCCATGGCTGCGAGGAATTCAGGGTAAATATGCAGAGTGGCTCTGCTTAAAGAAACTAAGGTAGAAACATGTCTTTGTTCGGCATTTACAACACATTTATCTGTGTTTTTTACACATTTTGGATTAATACTGGCGTGTCAATGGTATTTAGGTATCCCAAGATTGTGAAAAGTTCCTGTTTCAAACCTGCAAAAATTGTCCCGTCATGTTGTTTCCACGTAACATAAGGTAATTTTAAAGCACGGATAAGGAAAGCGTTAAAATGCCCGAAGATTTCTTCTCCTGATCTGCTCTGTGATTGGAGCATAGAGCAAAAAAGTATCACCTCTATCTATATGTTGCTGCACACCGGCAGTAACTTGGCTGACAGAGGGATAGCATAGCTTTCCATTTCTATTTTAAAACTACAGTTGGTCATAGTAGATAGTCTGGAAAATGAACCATCTCTTATCAGCTTTTTACACAAATATTAAATATAAACAGACTTTTATCAGCTCACACTTTGCAAATTGTGTCAAACACAACTGACATTTAATAGTTTGGCAAACTTGAAACTTGATTTATTTCATTTCTCAAACTGTTCCCAAACTAAAAAAAAAAACTATTCTTAATTATAAATATATATTTTTTAAAAAGATACAAGCAGAGAACATCATATTAGATGTTTTGTTGAGATGTAAAGCTCAGAGGGCTCCTTAAAGCACCTTGTTCGGACCCTTACTGAAGTTTGATATGATAATGCTAGAAAAGAGACATAAATTGTTGTTGGTATTTTGACTACCCTTCCAAAAACAAACCCATGCAAAGCCTGTAGTACAATATTAATAAAAAAAAACATGTAACACTTACACAACCCATATCCCAGTGATGCTCAGTACTGGGAGACTGACAGGCAGTATCATCCACAGAGACATTTTGGAGCACCTTGAAAAATCCCTTTCCTCTCCGTCCTCTTCGACCAGCCCAGGAATATCCTCTCAGGGAGCAGACAAACATTTACCTCCAGGTGACTGGGCTCTGCACGATCACACACTGATTCATTTTCCTACAGATGGAGGTTGGCAGATGGGACAGATGTGTTCTTTTTTTGTCGTTGTTGTTTTAGCTGGTGAATAAGACAGAAAAAGGGAGGTGCAGGCAGTGAGTTAGGTCAGGATTATTTGGGTACTTATCACGCACTAATCAGCAATACAAATTAAAGTAATCTTCTTTGTTGGGTGAAAAGTGATTCAATCACGCGCAAAAATCGTTCAGTTTGTCAAACAATGATGTCCGATTTTTTTTTTTAACTTTTTTTTTTTTTTTTTTTTTTTTTGCGGAGCGCAACAAAGTAATAATAAATAATAGGTGTGTGCATTTTCCTTTAATCTATCCCAGTAAACTATGTGGCTTGTTACTCACCTTCAGCCTCCGAGGAGTTTTGCAGGAGGTTTTGTGGAAACTTTGAGACCGTCGACGTGTCCTCCTTGTCCTCTTCAAAGCAAAGAAAAAAAAAAGCCAAAAGACGCCGCGTTACTTTAAAAAAAATCTCTTTGCTTCGTGTATTTTTTTTTTCTCCTGAGCAGAGGTTGGCCGTTTCGCTTTGAAGTGCGTGGCGTTACGGCTCGCGCTCGCAGAAATGCTGCCACGAGATCCGGAGACATCCCAGAAGATCCAGCTGTTTGGCTCCGCCCACCTGAAGTCACGTTCGGGTTGGCGTTGATGGTTCAAGACTTCATTCCGCCTCAACAGAGATTACTCTACCAATCATTTTCTATACTGAATACTATGAAACGCAAATAAATCTGCAGCACAGCAAAAGTCTGACTCGCCAAAACGCGTTTTCAAAAGTTTATACGCGAGAGTCTCAAATTGGTCAAACACGAGCAATTGTTGTAACTATGAAAGTTTATGCGCAGGAAACGTTTCCTCTTTTATTAGCGAAAGAAAGAGGTGAAAAGTTTGAAAATGGGATTTTCGAAGCCATTTTGTTGAACATAGAGCTAATACCGCCCCCTGCTGTACATTACAGGGGGCACATAGAAGTATTCCTAAATGTTATCCATCAAAATGTTTATTAATTAGTGTTGCTTTATTTGACTAGATTTCAAAATGCCTACCATGCATCTTGAAATGTGTGTAGGAAACAATTTTGTGGCATCTATTTTGATTAATTTTCAATCCAGCAATAACAAAGATGTGTGAATTATTGGATGCAAAATCAGATTGAAATGTAACAATCTGTTGAGGGATGTGGCTGTGTTTTTTATTTGTTTGTTTTTTGCATGCAAAGCAAGTAACCAAGATATAATCCCTCAGGGTGGATTTCTGGGCAGGGCGTCAACGTTCAACACAGGTTAACATCGGGTCGAAACAAGCCCCAGACTTTATGACATACCAGACTGCATTAATGGTGTACTATTATTGGCTCTGTGGAAAAACTCTTTCTCCAAATGAAGCTTGACAGAACTTCAAAATGTACATTTCAAATAGATAAGTAGACTACGTCTCAGTTATTTCCAGAATGTCTTCAATTCATTAAGGTTGCTTTGTAAACTCCCAGGGATACATTTTGTGAGGAGGATGTATGTTAAATATTGAAGCACCAATTCAAAACACCAGTCAGAAAAGCTCAGGGACAAATGGGTCATCCAAATAGAAAATTACCTCAACCATACAGCCAAATTTTCTTTTTTTTTTTCTTCTTTTTTTTTATTTGAGAACTACGAAGTTAATGTTAGAAGCAGTGATCACAAAATCTTAAGCTTCATCCCAAGTAAAATTTGTGAGCACAGTTGAAAAAATGCGTATGATTATTTCTTCAAACCTGATTCAGACACATCAATTCTTAGAAAAAAAGAATCAAAATCTGGAGCCTTGTGAGATGATGCACAGATTGCTGACCAAACCACTAGAAAAGGCAATTCCACTAATAATAAGGAACTATATGTAAACTTCAAAATTTTAAGAAAATTACTCAGAAACCTTTTTTGAAAAATTCTGCCTAATTTTTTGGCATTTTGCAAATACAAATAATTGTGGTTCACTTCACTGTCCTAAAAGAGATAAAGTTCATTATGATTTGATGTCAGACAGTAAGAAAAAAAGTGTCTTTTTAAATATTTTATTTCAAATTAATGACATAACACAATATAAATACACAATAGGTATAGATACAATTTTCCCTTTATCACCACAATAGAATGATTAGTGTCAATTTCTTAGTTAATAGTTTTTCATAACCCTAAACAATCCAGAAAAAGTGCAACGATAACCAGAACGTGACAATTTATGTATTTGCTTGATTTTGACTTTTTAGTCTTGGCGTGAGAAGTACATTTGTTTGCACTTTATATATATATATATATAAACCATGAGATTTTCTTTTAAAAAATGACTTGAAAGATTTTTAAGTGCAATAAAAGCTGTTAAAAAAAAAAAGAAAAAGTCATCTGAGAGACATTAAAGAAAACTCAAGTGACTCAGAAAGAAATGTATCAAATATATTAAGGTGCTGCATGGTTGCAACTTAACAATTAGCTACAATCTGTGAAATCTCAACTCAAACCTTCAGTTATTTAATGCAACAGAAATAAAAAATTTCCATCAGTTTTGTTCACGCTCATTTCTGTCATGGCTGAATCATCATTTTAAACAAATAATGTAAATCAGAAGATTTGGTAAAAGAAATGAAAGAATGTTTTCACATTTTTATTCCTAAATTCAAAAAATATATACACATAAAATGAAATCTTTTCTATCCGCAACTTATATGTAACCCAAATAATATCTCATCTTTCTCATCTTTCCCATATGCAATATATTGAGAATAATAATAGTCTGTGATTCAAAAGATCTGATCCCATGGCTCTTCTCCTACAGCCTTATAGAAGAGCCAAAGCCCCACACGCTGAAAGCAGGGTACAGAGGCTCCACAAACGAAGTCTGAATCTTGTGCAAAAGGCGCATGCCATCAGAGACACTGTAAAATGCAAGTATTCCCTTCCCGTGGTCCAAGTAGACACCGATGCGGGATGACACGGGGGCAGAGAGGTCTTTGCTTCTGTTGTTGTGCACAAAGGTGAACTTGGACTCAGAGCAGTACAAACTCCACGACTTTTCATTCCAGCCAAGGCTGCAGTCATTGCCGTTTCCTTTTCTCCGGATTCCCTTGTACGTAACAGCCATGTCTATCTCTGTTCCTCGCCAGTCCACTTCCCAGTAGCAACGAGATCCATACACACTCTCTCTGCACAACACCTAAACATATGGAAAGACCAACGTGATCAAAATCCCAAAGCAACATAAAGAATAACAATGAAATAAAGGGGTCAAGATGGATACTGGTCTGGAGCTGGAAGCACACATAGGAGCCATTGTAAAATCCAGCTCTTTCCACTTAAGGAAACTAGCCAAAGTAAAACCTATTATTTCCAGAAAGCACTTTGAAACAGTGATCCATGCATTTGTGACCATACGGCTGGATTACTTAATGCACTTTATATAGGAGTCAGTGATTTATACAGTTCCCAGCTCCAGACGGTACAAAATGCTGCTGCACGTCTTTTAAACAGGTACATAAAACTTTGACCATATTTCCCCTATTTTGGCTTCCTTACACTAGTTGCCAGTACATTTTAGGATTTATTTTTAAATCCTTTTATTTATTTTTTTAAAGCTCTTAATGGCCTTGCCCCTCCCTATCTGTCTGAGCTGTTACATTCTTACACACCTTCCTGATTCCTCAGGTCAGCTGAAGGTGCCAAAGACAAAGTGCAGGCTCAGAGGGGACTGTGCTTTTTCTGTGGCAGCTCCCCAGCTATGGAATGACCTTCCTTTGGGCATAAGACAGGCCTCTTCACTTACTGTTTTTAAGTCCTTTCTTAAGACCCATCTTTTTTCTTTGATATTTTTCACAATCTGAGTTCACTTTGTTTTGTTGTGTCTGTATATTAATATGTGTTTTATATTCAATCGCTTCTATTTTATAATTGCATTGTATTTCATGATTGTGAATGGCACTTTGGTCCTGTGGGTGTATGAAGTGTTTTATAAATAAAGTTGGTGTGGTAAAATGATTCAAGGTGTAAATCCCCACCTGTTGCCAGTGGTCAAATCGATCTGGGTGATCAGGGTAGTGTTTAGGGTCACTCTTCATTGTTGCTGTTCTGTTTCCTTCTGAGAGGTGAAGGTTTCGGTGGACTGTGTTGACGTCCAGAGTCAACTGCTGAGAATCTGAAATAGAAAAACAAAATAGTAAGGATTTGGGTCCTTGATGGTGGTTTTTAAAGTTTCTCATCAAATTTATCATGAGGGAGCACTAGAGTGCAGCTGGGCGTGGTATGGAATATGTTTGCATGATGATGTAACAAAAGTAGTTACACCTGTGTTTGCTTCACAAAATCTGGATTGTAAGTAAGACTTTTAACCGATGGATTAACCGGTTGAGCAAGCTGAATGCCTTTATTCAAGTTTCACTCATTTTGCTTTGTAGACTCGCCTTTTTGTCAAGTGAAGGCGTAGTTATTAACAATGAGACCAGGTCAGACTAAATGCATAGTTTCATTACCAGAATATTGTGCTACTTACATTTCAAGAAGTCTTCTCTTGTCTTTGGCTCTTCCACAATTCTTCCGTCAATGCTCACAATTGATTCTCTTCTTGGCTTTAATTCAACTTCCTTTGCGTCTTGAGTGATGTACACTTCCTTTACTATGAAAATGAAGAAAAAGAACAGGGGGTTCAACAGACTGTTTAGTTTTGGATGTATTTGAAGAGGAAAAATAGACAGCTATGTTTACCTGCTCCAGAGATTTTCATAATTTCTGTTTTGCTGACTTCTTCCACTTGCAATTTCAATGCTGCAATGGCTCTCTTGGCTGGATCGAAGGAATAATTGGGAACAACATTAATTTTGTTGAGGTCTTCATATCCGGAGGGGCCCGATAGAGACTGCCAGCTCTGGTAAACATAAAAACATTCCCACAAATGAGCATATAGGCCACTCTGAGCTCTAAAGTCATAGTGTTACATTAGGCAGATCATCCTGACCTGCAGAAAGTGAATGTGATCATCGGTGCGAGAGAGCTTCTCCAGGTTGTTGTGTTTCTTCCTCAGCAGAGTTATCTCCTCCTCCAAGCGGTCCAGGAGTAGTTCCCCCTGGGTCACGGTGGTTCTTTCATGGGAGAGGACCATCTCTTTGACTTCTTTGTACTTCCTCTCTATAGAATTCAGAAGCTCAGTGAAGAGCCGGTCATTTTCCTCAAGAACTGTTTGAGCAGAGTGCTGTTGAGACACATATGAATGATTAGAAAATAATTGCATTTCAGAACAGAAAACCTTTCCGCAATATAACTGGGATGTCTTCTACTTACTTTCACAGATTCAACTGCTTGTCTTAAATCCTGCCATTTTTTAATTCTTTGATCTATCCTCTGTTGAGACTTCTGCAAAGTGGAACCAAGTTGTTTCTGCAAAAATGCAAGAAAAAGGAAGTTTAAATACTCAACGGCTAATCAACACGCATATTTTCTGAGTTCGAAGTGCAGAATGAGTTCTGTTCAATGCTCACTTGTTTCTCAGTCCTCTCAGTTCCAGCCGGGACGATGTCATGGTGTTTGTGTTCATCCATCATGCACAAGACACAGACTGATGTCTGATCA